AATATATATATATATATATATATATATATATTATTGTATTTGGAGTGCACTTGTTTCAGTTGATCATAGACCAGCGGTTACAGTACAACTAGTAGACTCTCTTGAGTCATTTCATTAGCGGAAGAATGTGATGGGGGGATAGTGCTCGAGACACAGATGATTATTAAATATCTTAGAGCTCTAGGGTTGGCTTACTTCAGAACTTCTGCCTCTTCTTCTCCCTCCTGCCCCATGCAGACCTTCAAGTGGCCCGCGGCCGCCTGAATTCGGACTTTGTGCCAAATGCCCTGTACGAAGCCGCCGTCCTTGCGTTCTGCAATTGTATGGAGCTTTCCCTTCTCCAGACGAACCAACTTCTTGCTGCCACTCTTTTGCTGCATCAGCAGCAAAAACCCGTTTTCCCTATCCTTCATCCGAAACCCAATTCCCACACTCCCGCTGCCCATCGGCTGCAACCCAATACACACACATCACACCATATCAACTGATTTGTCCAAGCATGAGTTTGGAGCGTTTTGGTTCTTACTAGGAACTGCACGCGTAGGATGAAGTCGTAAAATTTTCGCTGTTTGAGGAGAGCAAATGTTCCCTCCACTTCGGCGAATCCGCGAATGGGCGATGATTGTCCGAAGACATTTTGGTGTTTTGCAACGAGTAGAGCAAAGCCCCAGTGGCTGGGACCGTCTCGCGTGTACGGACTATCCTCCACTGTGAATTCGTGTTCGAACGTCGTCTCAAGCGGCTTCAGCTCATAGTCTTGAAATCCCTGCTGCGCTGCGTGTGTCTCTTCCAGATGTTGCAGCTCTTCGCGCACATTCTCCAGCTGCGTTGCCGCCGCTGCGGATGCTGCCAGCAAATGATTTGTGAGACTTTCGACTTCGCGGAACCTGTTCAAATCTCGTGTTTGACACAATCAAGTGCCAAAAAAATAAGCGTGGTGTATGCTTACAGTTGCACAGCCTCTGAGTAGACACTTTCGTTCAGCTGTTCTGCTGGCTTGACGCGCTTCCGCGCCTCTCCAACGGTTATTCCTGCCTCCACTTTTGCATCTTTCACCGCCACCGGATCGATGCCATGCATAGCCACTGTGAAGCGAACAGATGACCGCCCGGGTGGATGGTTCTTACGTTCATTGATTGCACTCAATTAAAAAACACAACGTAACCTACAGATGCGGTCCTTAGCCGCCTCTGACGCTTCCTCCAGGGCAGGATCATAGGCCGGAGGTGCTGCAGCGGGAGATTCCGAGAGGACGCGAGTCGTCAGTTCCACAAACGAAGTCAGAGGCGCCCCCAGAACAGAGGGAGAGGTAGCGGACTGCCCTGTGGGGCCTTCTGGGCACTCCTGTATGCGTGCATCCATCTCTTGAGACACACGGACGTAAAGGGAAGAAAAAAAGAAGCGCGATACCTCGGTAATCTTGGATAGGCGCATACTTCTTGTTGCCTCTCCTGACGACAGCTCAAGGGACTTAGACTCCACGCCATTTTGCTTCGATCCCTCGAATGAGAGAAGAGGAGATTCGATGGAGGCAGTGAACACTCCGCCATCTCCAATGATTCCCGCGTGAACTGCTGCCCTGCAGATGCCGCTGCGTTCTGAGTACAGGCCTTCAGATCCAAAGACAGGTGGCGCGCTGCTGCTGTCTGCGCAGCCGGGTGGGCATTCTACCAGGACGTTCGTCTGGAAGTTTGTCAGGAGGGTGTTGAAGATAAGGGGCAGGGGTGGTAGATGGTTCAACAATGAGGAGTACGTGGCTTACGTTCAGAGTTCCTTTAAAGGCTTCGTGACCCTCCATTACGTCGTCGCAAGCCAGAGGAAGTGCTGGTCTGGAGGAAAAGTCGACCTGTATGTGCACTGCTACGAACTCGAGAGAGGACCAGCACTACTAGCTCACCCACGTTCGACTTCCCCTGTGGCGTTGGTGGAACACAAGACTGCGGCCAGTGGTGTTGACGATAAGGGGAAGTAGCTCATCGCCTTTTCTCCTCTTGCCATGCCTAGACCTGAGGTGCCATCAGAAGCAGCACAGTTGCATGCAGCAGTTCAACTCATGTACGAACCTGCGGTGTCTGAGGTTGCCGTCGCGCTGCTGTAAGCAGACGCAAACGCAAGCACCAGGCCGGTGAGATCCGTCGTGCCGTCAAACAAATCGTGAAAAGTTGAACTGCAGGCACCGTAGCTGCACCCCAGATCGTAGGCTATGGGAATGCCTTCTCCTCCCTCCAAGTTAACTCCTGCAGCAGCAGCCAATCGTCTGTTCGTGCAGCAAACAAGGGATGCTAGTCTAGTCAGCAGCTACGACGCACCCATTTGCTTGACTGCGTTCTCGGCGCTGGACAGTTGCGTGATGCCCCGAGGCACAAACGTCTCTAGCCCTACGGAGCCGCACGCTTTCCGGATGTCGGCAACAGAGGCAAGGAGGCCGGCGGGACGATTTTCAGCACGAGGAATATCGCTCTGCAGTAGCACATAAATCAGTGTCCCGGTTTCCATATCGCAGTAGCCCCTCAAGGGTTTGCTGGCGCAGCGAGGCTGAACCCTAACACATCAGTTCAGCGCTGAGAACAGTGGCTGCTCTTCAAAGAATACGAATCCCGAAATACCAGTAAAAGCCCGAAATTGCATGCGGGGTCTTCTGCTTGATCCAGTAGCAGTCGAGGGCAGGATGTTCCTCCCCGTCACCTGCATAACGCAATAAGACACCGACAAATCAATGAGAGGGAAAGTAAATAGAGGGATATGGAAATGATGAGAACGTGTACAATTAGAGGGACCTAGAGTACCTGGGAGCAGTTGATGAACCGAATAGGCCTTTGGCTTTTCTGTTGCAGTTTGAAAGCTGGAGAGAAGACGGCCGGCGTCGTGGCGGAGTGTCGCGATGTGTTGTTTCTGTTGTTTTTTGTCATCCCTGCACTCTTCCATTTCTGTGAAGCGTTCTTCAACATTTGCCGCCAGCTGCTGGAGGTTCTTCATCTTGGCAATGACGTCAACACCCAGCTTTGCGGTTTTTTGCACAAAGGCTGGGTCGACCCCTGTGACGTAAGAAATGAAATACTTGTCGCGCGCATCGTCCGAGTTGGCTGATTCCCTGCAGTCGCCGATTGCGGATTCGAGCTTGTTGGCGAGGATGCTGATCTCCTTGATTGCGTAGCGGTACTTCTCCTCAACCTTCCCCAGACGCGGGTGCGGCCGCTGCATGCGGATGCGGACTATGGAAGCAGCAACACCGTCCATGGGGTCTTTGGTAGACACAGACGGATTCGCGTCGTTCTGAACGACATCCCTGCAGCGGAGCGTCACGCAGCCCGTAAAAGATCAAATCAAATGAACACCTGCATCAACGAAAAAGGGAAGAAATGGCACCCACATATATGTCATGCCGTCTACGCTGACTTGCACCGTGTATGCCAAGGCCGGTTGCTCCCAGTGAATCCTTGTGGCTGCAAGCCGCATCACTTTCCCTGAAAATATTAGAAAATGCATGCACGGAGTGGTAGTTTTACTCTGCACGCATGCAGTTTCATTCGTACTGCAAAAGAACCACTAATGTACGCAGACATACCCAAGTTGACGTCGAGGGTGACTGGGTATTCGTCTGGCTCTTCGAATAGCTCAGAGGCCCACGAAGTGTCTGTGTCTCTATCTATAGCTTTCTGAGGCCCGTGTGCCTCATCAGCGTTGCTGGAGGACTCTGCTGTTGCTCCTGTGCTGGCAACTATGTCGGCAAAGCCAGCGGAAGAACCGTTGACGTTCTTTTGCGTTAAACACCAGGAGCCTGCCTTGCCGATCCGTAGCTGTGAATTGCCCTGAAAGGACCAGCCCGATCTCCCGTCGCCTTCTTCTAAAGCCCGCGAACACTTGGATAAGATTATCTCGCCTCCATCTGGAAAGTAGAGACACAATTGACAGTCAGGCACTCATAAACAAATACAACCAACACGAACCAGACGTATCGCCTCCCTGCAGCACCACGCACAGCGGGGGATTGCTCAGAGCGCTGACGATTTGAGTCTTCGGGTTCGTCTTCCACAACTCCTAAGGACAAAACAAATCCTCACAGCGAACAAGTTTAAACGTTGGTGTCCACCAACTTAACCGCAAACGAGCTCAGTTAGCTTGGCTTCCGGGTTTAGGGTCTAGGGTTTAGGGTTGTATAAAAGCTCACGCGTCCATCTCCTGAGGCGATGGCGTCTTCGCAGAAGCTCAGGACGACTCGGGCCCCTTCTTTGTTTATTTTGCCACCTTCGACCTGCAGCAGCAGTGGACGCAATTGATGATGGTGATGATTGCATGCGGCTGTAGTAATTTTGTATTGTTAGAAATCGACATCACCCACCTGCAGACACATCTCTCCAGATGGACTTGAAATCCCAGCCACGATCATGAGCAAAGGCTGGCCTGTGCCGAGCGGGGTGATTCGGTTAATGCCGAAGAATTGACTCAAAGCCTTCCTCATCGTGACGACGATTACACGGCATTCTTGTGGCGCGTTGAAGAAGATGACCTCCTCGAAAGAAGCTGGAGAATACATCGTATGCAACACAGTTCAATTCTGACAAAACATTCAATTGCTCACGACCAGTCCCCGCCGTTGGCCTCCACGGTACCGCTACAAAGAAGTGCTCTCCGTCAGCCGATGTCGACACTTGTACCTCCTGAGAACAGGGGGTCCATAGCAAACAAATACTTCAGACACGTGTCAAGCTACCTGGGGAGCGTATTCCCAGCGAATGCGAATGCCTTTGATTCGACTAGGCACATCGAGTGTCCCACTCCAGGAGACTGAGAATTCACCAGTCATTGTTCCTTGCTTTAAACGCAGTGTATTGAAAGTAAGAATATCCGATACCTTGCTCGTCAGACGCGTGCTCGCCAGTACTAGACCAATACCCGTTCCCCGGCTCAAGTGCTCGAGATGCCTCAAAACCCATCCCGTAAGACGAAGTGGCTGATGCATCGCTAAAGGTGTAGAAGTCTGCAGACGTTTCCTGGCTACTGCACATGCACACCAGTGAGGCGATCCCTGAAACCGCCAGTGCGCAGTACACGCTCGTCTTCATGATGGTGACGAAAAAGAGGGTATTTACAGTAACTCAACAAGCAAAAGAATATGATGCAATTCGCTTGACGGGAGAGAACTCGGTAGGATTCTAGAGAAAGCGGCGGTTGCAGTTTTCGCACTTCGATTGCTGTATATACAGGCTAACGGTCATCACATGAAGCTAATCGCTCTGCTAAAGCAAAATATGCATGCATAATCCACTGTCTGTGTTTATTGTTTCGTCGTTTAACAACCTTCTCAATATTTAGTGTCTTTGTTCGAAATATGTGTATAAAACTACAGCGAAGTTATCCACCGCTCTCGCGGTGGGGGTAGATCGCCTCTGCAGCAACCATAACCGTGTCAGTCCTTGGACAGCACTTGTCTAAGATTAGCTTGCGCCGCTAGCGGAATTGGAAAAGGCGTCAATAAACAGAATAGTCTAAAACAAAAAAAAGAGCAGTGTTTTTTCCCTCAGCAGCTGCAGAAGCTGAACTGAGGGGTGCTGTCAATAGATTACAACCCGTATTTGAATGTACAGTGAGTGAAGAAGAAAAAGCGATCTACGCTAAAGAATGCCTCCATCATCTCCATCATCGATATGATCGTCGACATCTTCGTCTGCGTAATAGTCGTGTGCGTAGTCCTCGCCGCCAAAATCGTCGTCGTCCGCGCCAAACAGTTCTTCTGCACAGCAATTAACAAAATGAAAAGGGTACAAGAGCTCGAAAGCGGCAGCAAACAACAGAGAAGAGCTGGAACAAAGCTATACAGCATATCTATCTCTCAACTGCGGACTTGGGTTGTTGGATCTCAAGGGATGACCAAGCAGCAGCACAAGCTGCAGCAGCATCGACAGTTTACCTTCTGCATTTGCATCTGCCTGCTGAGCTTGTCCTTTATCTTCGTTGGCCTTATTTTCATCTTCCTTTTGTTCCATTTCTTTGAGTCGATGTCGTTTGGAGTCCGCTGCAGCCCTGTTAGCCCCTCTGGGCACGCGGACGAAGCGGCTCTGCAGCAGTTCGCTAGGAAAGAATTGGCTGCCACAGTAGGAGACGATGGCTTCCTTCTGGGCTTCCCAGTCGAAGGTACAGGCGTCATTCGCAATAGAATAATTCCTCCCCTCCAATTTGCTGCGCCTTTCCGCTATGCAGCACTCCGCTGTGCGCCAGTGATTGGTCAGCAGACGGTAAGCCAACACCGCTCCAGCAGACTCGTCGTCCAACTCCGCTGCCTTCTCAATGTATGGATTCGGCGGGTAAATTGGAGGCTCAGAAGTCACAGGGCCTGCGCACAGACAGGGGCAAAAATGCGAACATACACGCTGAGACATGCAACACCCCTGCTCTTCTTTTTCCCGGTATTGCCCCTGTTGTTGCTGCATGCGTTGCCTATGCTACTTTCGATTCTACTGTTGACGGTGTTGTTTTTTCTATTGATGTTGTTGCTGCTGCTGCGTTTTCACGCCTGTTGTGGGCTGGAAAGCTCCAGCAGGAGAATAGAGAGCAGCGCAGCCGCAGCAGCATAAAGGTGGCAAACGAAAATTGTTAAGGTAAGGAAGCAAGCAGTGGTTGTGAGTCTTTATAACTGGAGAAACCAAAATAACAGAAAAGTTTGCCTGTTCAGTCTATATTTGGTGCTCGTCGAAGATTTACCATGGCGCTCGGCGCCGTCCCTGATCCACTTTCGAGTGTCTCCTCCCCCAGCACCTCCTCCTCTTCCTCCCTTCATAATCCTCTGAGGGATTCAATATAAGAGGGGAGGAAACTCGTAGGTTTGCTGCTGTGGAATCGGGCAGGAGCCGCTGCGGGTTGCTGCACAGTTATGAGGAAATCTCCTGGAGAGGTATGCTTCATCAGTTACTGGCTACAGGTTTGCACGTTAGGCAAATTTACAAACAGGACAACAAATCCATTAATTCATTAATTAATGCTTGAAGTAATAAATTGTTCGTGAGAGATCTCCACGAGTGAGGGGCCCCCCTCCGGTACTCAAGGCATTGCCAGTCCGACGCAGCTGCATGCCCTAAAACGATGCTCTACAGGAGTAAAGTACCACCATATATTCGATGGATTCTAATTGTTCGAATGTGGGAAAATATAAAGCTACTCTGAAGTTTGCTGTAATTTGCGGCTTTCTCCGCCTCTCTCTTTGCCTTTCACAACAAATCAGCCAGCGGTCAGTTTATTGATAGGGCAGTTGCATCACAAGTGGTATCTGTACAGGTGAAATTGATGTGTGACACAGCAATGATCTAAGAAACATTCTCCATAGAGTTCGTTTGGAAGGCCGGACGTGCCGGTGTTATTCCCACAATGAAGGCTGTGGGACTCCTCGCTGCGGGCAGCAGTAACGGGCCTCTACAGGAGCTGAAGAAGAAGGCAAAGGCGAAAAAGGATAAATCAGCAGATGGGGTGGAGGACACCAGAAGCAGCAAGCGCGATCCCGTGAAGGAGTACATGGAGCAGCAGTTCTACAAACAGTTTTTGCCCAAGAGAGACTTTAATTCCCGAATCCGTAAACTTGCACTGGACAAGGATACCTTGAGGCGCGCCCAAGGAAATTCAAAGAAGGAGGTCTTCATTGCAGCAGCTGACCGCCTCGGCACTCATAACGGTAATCAGACAGCTCAGAAAACAGTGCGCAAAAAACCAAAACAAAAAAGCAAGAAACAAAAAACTAAACGTGGGCCACCCCCTAAGACGAAGAAGGAGATTTGCTCCATGGTAAGTGAATTAGATGCATTATTACTTTGCCCCTTCTGTTGTTCTACTGTTGTATGTAAACTGCGGCATGGTATGTGTGCGCTGATGTCATTGATGCCCGCAATTATGTTGTTTACGCATTTCACTGTGTATATGTTATTATATATGCCCGTCGTTTGCTTACATGAATGTGCCGCTTATTTATATTATTATTTTTCCGGTGGTTGGTGTTTCCCATATTTGCCGTTACGCTGTGTATGTACCACCACGTCACCTATGCGTACTTGTACTCCTGGGGTGTAATACTGTTATCAATGTTTCTTACCTTAAAGCCGACGTTCATTACTACTCCATTGCCTATATCACTGTGTTATTTTGTGTCGTCAGGTCCTGTCTCATTTGCACGCCCTGTAGTTCCCGCTCGCCCACCTTTAGCAGCTGTGTACAAAGGGGCAGGAGCGGGGCGTTGCTGGCTTTTGTGTGTTTCTGAGTCTTATTTAGAGAATACGGAACAATAAGATGAAACCAGGTGCACGCACAACAGATTGCAAGACTAGGCGCTGTTCTAGTGCACTTATTGTTCGTGGTGCTTATTTCTATGTCCTCTGCCTCCAAGCCTGCCAGTCCATCTATACACCGAAAAAGGCAGGGAGGCAGAGTGCCCAATTCGTCTACTCTCCAGAGAGAGCAGGCAGGAGCAGCAGCAGCCGGGAACCGGCTTGAGCGCAGGGGAAAGGGGGATGTCTCTTGTTCCGGGTTCGCCACAACCCCAAGAAATAAACAGCAACTGTAATTAAAAAGGAAGCCGAACTGACACTGTTTTGGAAAACGCCCCCATCTAGTGGGTGCGTGGAATGGGGAGTAGGAGCATGTAACTTAGATAATCTGTGGCGAAAGCCGACAGAAGGGAGGCATAACCATCATTTATCACTTGTTGTTATAATACTTAGTGCAATCAGAACTGTGCAAAGTAAGACACCTCCAGCTATTCAAGGACAGAAGGTGCCTGTCCGCTCTAAAAAGCAGAAATAAATTACTACGCCGCGCCGCTACCCCAAGAAATTGTTGGGGTGTTCATACAGCCCAAGGGCACAGTCGACGTGCAGTGAAAAATACATCCACAAGAACGATGAAGATCATAGAGAGACTGCTTAACTACACAATTTATGCTTGCAGCACACCACCGATACACTCAAGATGCACCATCTGTGCACCTAGGCGTGCAAGTAAGCCCCAGAGGCAGGGGAAGCCGATAAATAGAAGGAGCACAGACTGTAAGACTCTGAGCGCACCACCTGCACCCAGTTATAACCTCCCCTGAATGCTGGAGTCTATAGACAGCTGCGATGTGTGGAGGCGGCGCTGCTGCTTGACGGCCGAAAGCATTTAAAATTATCGTCGGCAGCTACAAGCAGTTGTACGCATCCTTCTTCTCTCCCTTCTTACTTACGCAGCAATCTGTAGCTGCTTCTGCAGCGGGGCCCGTGGCAGTTGAATTTTCAGGCGATACACCTGAGGATCTTGCTATGCTACGTGTATGTATGAAGCAGCAAACTGAAAGGCTGCTATTCGTGCTTAAAAGCACACCATTGACGGCTGGAACCACAGAGACCACGAGACGCAGACGAGCTGCTGTTGATTATTCGGCTGGGGCGGTCCTGATGACCCCTTTTCAACTCCGCTGTGCTGCATGAAGCAGACAGCCAACGCGCTCCTCGGACGATACATGCGCTGGTAGCATGGTCCACGACTGCAGGCGATCTGCACCCTTATATATAGTGTTGCTTCCAGACGGCTGCAACCGACGACCAGCTGGTTAGCGAGCTAGCTAACTGCTCTGTCCACCTCTGCAGGTAGTTGTTAAAACGCATTCGCTCTATTTTGCGCTGTTTTCCGTGCGCTTATCAGAAGTTCTGGAGTTCTGGGCTGCCATTTGCTTTTTACGTTCCACCAAAACCGTTTCCGTCACTAGAGCTCTCAGCGAGTTAATGACCTCTGCGTTGCAGAGGGACGTAGTATCCCCTAAGTTGGTGTCTAGACAGCACAGCTTCCGCAGCAGACGCCGCATTATCTTCCCGCTTTGCGTCTTCGGGAGGCCTGTGAAGCACACACACACACATACATACATACATACATACATACATACATACATACATACATACATACATACATACATACATACAGGCGCACACACACGCACACGCAGTCAGTCACCCGCCGATCGGTGCAGTGGTGCATGTCGTCTTGCAAGTACTTTGCAAGCAGAACGGGGAGCAGAATTACGCAGGTGAAACAGCTATACCACCCTAATACAATGGAAAAGTTGAATGTGGCAGGCAACGCAACGCCAACAGATTGATGAAAACCGAGAAAAGTGAAAAAGCAGAAAACGAAGAGATTGCGAGAGGAAAGAAGGGAAAAGAAGTGAGGAAAGGATCAATCTACTACAAGGGGGACCAAACCGGGGATATCAGCACCCAGACAAAAGATCTGCTCCACCTCCTGGTCTGAGCTGTACCTGGGGCCACAACGATGAAGTCGGGGGTCGCAATGGGGCCGATCTCCTTCCTCACTTGCGCCCTTGCCTGCTCCACTATACCCTCCTCCGAAGCATCGGCCTAGAAGCATGCAAAGGAAGGCGGAACAGAAGAAGAATAGAACTTAGCTATCCTCTCTGCCGCCTCCTCTCTATCTCCTGTTCTTCCAATGGCATGCTACTCGCTTGCTGCTACTCGCTTGCACGTCTACATTCTGCTCCTGGCATTTGGAGACAGTCAATCGCTGTAAATTTAGAAACAAGTCCTCTGTGATTCAACCCAAGCACCGCTACAAGCGGGGTCTGCAATCGTTCGGGCTAAGCGCCGCACAGATCTTGTTGCACTGTCGATAATGCAAGAAATTAATTTTATCGCTTGAATAATGAATTGAAAACCAGACTACTTAATTACATATTTTCCCTTAACTCACCTTCAAAATTACGAAGCAGAACACTGCAGTGCCCTTTACATCGTGCGGAACGCCGACAACTGCTGCCTCAACAATACTCGGATGTTGAACCAACGCATGTTCAATCTCGGCAGTGCTGAGTCTGTGTCCTGTTGACAAATGAAAAAAAGCAACAGAAAAAAAAACGCGGACGCATAAAATGCTGTATAACCTAGTTAGCCATCATGTACACCTGATGATTTCCCGCCTGTCTGTGTCCTTGTGCTCTATCCCGACGTGTGTGTGTGTGTGTGTGTGTGTGTGTGTGTGTGTGTGTGTGTCAGTTTGCTGGAGTTGTTTAGTTCTTGTTCCACGGTATGACGACAAACTTCAAGGAGGAAGGGCCGCTCCATACCTGAGACATTTAGTGTGTCGTCGACGCGGCCGGTGATCCAGTAATGGCCATCTGCATCTCTATAGGCGCCATCACCAGTAAAGTAAAAGCCGGGGTAAGGAGTCAAATAGGTGTTCAGAAGTCGCTTGTGCGCTCGGTGAACCGTTCGGCACATCCCTACACCCACAGCGGAGACGGCAGCAGCAAATGCAGCAGCAGAAGTAACATAAGACAATAGTCCACATGAAGGCTGGTGCAATATCATGTAAGGCAGCTGCAGCAGCGTTAGAAGCCGCTGCAGCAAAACGGCAGAACAGACCAGAGTCTATGCATTTAGACATAGGAAGGTACAACGACTGAAACACTTCACCAGCTATGGAACTGCACAAGAGAAAGACAAACGCCGAGAAACATCTGCAGAAGGCGGTACCAAGTACAAGGTGGCAGCTGTGCAGAAAGACACGACAGCTGTAACGTAGTACAGAAATCACACGAACCCCCATTTGGAAACAATGATAGCAACGGCGACCAATGGCACTCAGCCAGCGAACACCAAAGGCAACGAACAACGAAACAAAAAAGACGCAACGAGCACACAAGTAAACGCCAGCTCCCAAGCAAACAGCAGATTGACGAAGCTGCAGAAGTTCAGCATCAAGCGACCAGAATCCCCCCAAGGAAGCCGCAAAAAAGAACAAGACACAGATACAATGAGCACAAAAGAGGAGATGTTGTTGAGGTGTGAAAGTGTGTACCGGGCCACGATCGTTTGATGCAGAGGACGCCACAGACATTGTTTCCCGTCTTTTCCTCCCCAGACTGGGGATCCACAATGGCTGGTTCCACTCCAAAGAAAGGCACCATCGCGCACCCCGGCTTTGTGACTGTCGCCCCTGGAAAAGGCGCCAACACGTGGCCGCCGGTCTCAGTTTGCCAATATGTGTCGACGACTGAACACTGGCTCCGCCCCACATTGGTAAAGTACCACCGCCACGCCTCTGGGTTTATCGGCTCCCCCACAGACCCAATGACGCGCAAAGTGCTCAAATCGTACTTCTTCGGCCACTCGTCCCCGTGCTGCATCAACGCCCTGTACAACAGCAGCAGCAACAGCAGCGGTAGCCATGCAGCAGCACCAACAACGGCGAAGCAGTAACACAACAGTGCACAAGCAGACAATTCCCTCTGTCGACTGCTGCTCAGGGAGAAGACAGCAAAGTTCGCCGCAGGCCCTTTGCCACCCACCTGATGGCCGTAGGCGATGTGTACAGTTGAGTCACTTTCCACTTCTGCACCAGTTCCCAGTACCTGTGCGCAACAACAAAGACAGATCGTAGGCATAAACAAACTACAACTGATCCACAGATAAGAGACACCGACGAATGCAGCGTTGTTCCCTGTGAAGGCGACGTCAAGTGACACAGTAGCGGCCACCATCCGTTTACGCTTGCATGCACGCCCCAGCAATAAAAAATAAGCTTATATGTTAGGAAATACAAGGCAGTGCGTGCCTTCAAAAGGAACCCGGAGCTACACAGAAGGCAGAAGCAGTGAGAAGGACCAGGAGCAGCAGCAAGAGAGAGGGAAGCGGAAAGTGACAAGCACAGACAGAAACGGAAACAGGAGAGATGGCGGAGACGGAGAGGTATATATAGATGGATGGACGGAGGCAGGAGGCGGACAGACGAAAAGATGGAGTTATACACGCAGCAATCGCAAATGAGCTAGACATACCTCCCAGGATTTGGGTATGTGGGAGTGCCCTGAAAGAGAATTGTGGATGCGCCGTTGCAGAGGGGTCCGTAGACAGTGTAGGAATGGCCGGTGATCCAGCCGCAGTCGGCCATACATCCGAAGGTATCGCCAGGATGGTAGTCGAAGATGTACTCATGGGTTAAAGCAGCATACAACAAATACCCTGCAGTAGTGTGGCACACGCCCTGCACCCAACGAAGAACAACGCAAAAAAGCAACACAAAAACTACAGCACAAACCCACTGCAACCCCAACTACATTAGAAACAATGCTATATGCGAGAGGCAAAACGAAAGGCCGCAAGAAACAAACGACACACACGAAAACGCAAACATGACAGGTCAAATACACGTCGCACGGCGAGCAAACAGGGGGCGAACGGCGGAGGAACGAAAATGTGTAAGGTTCACCTTGGGTTTGCCTGTTGAGCCAGAGGTGTAAAGGATGAAGAGGAGGTCTTCGCTGTCCATTGTTTCCAAAGGGCAGTAAGGCCTCATCTGTGGCAACAAATCATCTCCAGAGAGGTCGCGGCCGTCGACAAAACTCGCGGGGTCAGCTGCAAAAGCAACACAGACACGAGTGAATTGCTTGCAGGCAGACAAATACCGAGCATCAACGCAGGCAAAAAAAGCACTAGTGCATAGAAATAGAGCCAAATGGCAAGCCAATAAGACGACCTGACACAGGCTACACGTGCCACATAGTTGGAACGCCAAGCAGAGACAAGCAAAAGACAGAAGACGCTGCAGCATGCAGCACGCATCTGCAGCCGACAACACTGCCAAAGGACCCAAATGATGAAGGAATACACACCACCCCATTCTCACGAACCAAGCAAGCAAGACAAATGATGCAGAATGCCGTGCCACCCACCAGACTTCCTGAACAAGACGACGTGCTGCACACAAGAGCACAACTTCAAGGCCTCGTCGACCACCGCCTTAAGACGCACCACGCGTCCTCCCCGCAAGCCGTTGGTCGCTGTTATCAACTGAAGAGGCGCAGCAGAACACGTGTTAAATCAAACACTCAAGCACTGCTACACAGCACTAAGATAATTAGGGTACTGCACTGTTCGCACACACAGTCAGTGCCGCCTGCCACCGCCACAACTTCAACGCACCACGCGACTGTTTGCATCTTCCAAACGCTCCGCCAAACTGTTGGCTGAAAATCCGGCGAAGACGACGCTGAATTCAACGAGGCACAACAGCACGAGGCAAAATACAACCCCTAAACCATAATCACAAGCCTCTAGACCGTCTATCCGACAAGTGAACTCTGAACCCTTAAGACATCCTCTTGCAACTGCTGCAGAACGTGACCATGTGCACGCATACCATTGTTAAGCGATGTCACAATAGATGCACATATGGTAAATATCTGAAGGTAGCCCCTTCCCCGCAGTTTGCGCAATAACAAAAGGTGCAGCAAATGACAGCGGACTACGTGTCTTTACAGCGCCTCATTTTGCAGTGGACTGCACGCATCGTATCTACAACCCTTTTAGTCCTTGTGTAAACTGTATACCTGTGGACGGCGCCGATTCTCGCACAAGCCAACATCGCATAGACAATCTCGGGGATCATCGGGAGATAGATGGTGACGATGTCGCCTTTGCGCACGTCAAGGCTCTTAAGGAGGTTCGCGAAGCGACACACTTGATCTGCGGAAATAAGTGAAAACACCGGCAAATTGAATCCACGTCCGAATTCCATAGGGAGGTGGTGAGTACGCAACAAACAAAAGATGCAGTAATGCGCTACATGGAATAGAGCAGCACAGTCCCACAATGGTTTGGACGACTATTACATTTTGAGCTCACCTTGCAATTCTCTATAAGTCACCACTTGACTCTCATCCGAGTTGTCACCCTCACATATCAGCGCAACCCGCTGAGGGTACTGCTCCGCCCACCTGTCCACGCAGTTGTCGCAGACCTGAGTAAAACAAATGCATCGAAAGGACACAAAGGGGAAACAACTTTGGCACAACGCTAAAAAAGCCTGGTCACGTTACAGGGGAACAGCCCCCTGCACACGCCCCTTCAACACCTGCGCCACAGCTCTCTGGGCGATCCAAACGCGCCAACTACAGTATACATAGATGTACGTATACGCTCATTCCTCTTCCTCGCACTTCAAAAAGAAAACCGGCACATACGCAAAGGCTCTACGGTTGCTGCCGTCTGGCCGCTCCCATTGCAAAACCAGTGCCCAGGTCGCCTCACATTCAGTTTCCCATTTAGAAACCACGAGATGTCTCCATCTTTAAGCGACCCGTGCTGAGTCTTCGTGAAGGGCTGGAACCAGCGAAGCTTCTCCAATGCCCGCTGTACACACCCCAGCACACACCCCAACAAAGACGCGCATATTGGGGACCTGCAGTTAACTGCATCCAATTACCTACACAAAGGCCAGCATGGCAAATACCTATACGTACATGGAACAGCCGTAGACGTGCATGGTGTATGTAGAAGCATGCTAGTACATATGCATACATGCATACAGATATGCATTTCCTATGCTTGTACGTAAAAAGCATGGAGCAGCGAAGAGGAGGAGAGACATAAAATACAAGCAGATGCGCATGTGGAGTTACAATTGCTCAATGTGAAAGTTGGGAGTTGATACCTCCTTCCAGAAGTTGTCGGCATCCTTCAAACTTCGCCAGTAGAGGTGTTTGTACATGCTCTGTCAAAGTCCGCAAGCACACTTCATAGCGATCCACATGCAACTAGCACAAAAGACCTGCAATATAACAACGCCGGCTTAGCGTGCGCAGTTCGATCACTTTCCTAGCACTTTACAAGGGACAAAGGCAAAGCATGTGACGCATGTATATCAACAGGCAATCTGCATAATCTGCACACACCCTACTCGGTGAGCTCATACGCATAGAACGAGTTGGTAAGCATGAAACCATGCAAACACATGCATACAGAACACAAAAGTCCAGGATACTACGTTTAAGCTGCAGGTATTTGCATACAGCACGAGAAACACAGGATGAGATGAACCGACACAGGCAACGAAAAACGAGACACGGGTTCCGAAAATTTGGAACTAGCACCTTCCCCTAGTGTGTCGTTGCATCCTGAGTTATTCTGACCTTCCATGTGGCGTCTACACAGTTGCTGATAAGGAAAATTCCCTGCATTACGTACCTCAGAGGGCACATTGCATCTGCTAGTGTTTTTCGGCGGCGGATCGTGAACCTCTGAAACCGGGAAAGAGGAGACGGCGTCATGAGTCTCTTCCAGACTGAGATCACTTCGTTCTACATTTGGACTTCCTCTGTCCACAACACAGGCCTTCCCCAGATCTCTTTCCCAGGAAGGCATCTTTGCGCAGCAAACTCCGGCCCCAGCAGAGCCTGATGAGGGATTTCGGCTCCTTTGTAGATTTCAAATACTAAGATAATGGCGAGGAGTCAATATGACGGGAAGAAGGTGAAGATCGCACGTCAGACCCCAGCTTTCTTCTCTCAGTCAGCACGAGTAGCACGCCACGACGTAGTGGGTGGCACCCGCCAAAAGACGCCGCAAACAAACTGCCAACACACCTTAATTCAATGCAACTTTTGCATAAACAAAAATATTTGTCCAAGGAAATCGAAATGTCTTCCCTTTTGACCAACGCAGCAAGACAGCAGCCATTTTGGGGGGCTCGCGTGGCAGTTGTACCTGACCTGATCGGTTGCCCTTGCGGTTTCTGAACTGTCTCCAGTATTTCTCATTCACCCATTTAAACGAAGTTTTGTTATAGTTTGCATCTTTTGGGAAGTTTACACTCGCTATCTCCGTAAGTCCAAGCCCACCACTTGCCATACACTCTGCCGCTCACAGGCAGACTATGTAGAACAGTCTGCCCACAATTAGCACATGAACACCTACTCCGCCTTCGTAGACAGCATGCACGCAAGCAGGTAGCGTTCGCCCAAGCAGAAGGCTTCAACAATTTCCGACAGCGCTACAGAATGAAGGAAAGAACGCTTGGTTGCACCAGCGTGTGGGGCCTGTATTTCTGAGTGTGTAGCATTGTTTGTTCGCTGTTAGCACATGCAACAGAAGTTGGCACATGAAACAATCATCCAGCTCTAGAGGGCAAAATGTACGCAAGCACTAAGCCTGCAACAATGGCCAGCAGTGTCCACCCATGCAGCGATAACTGCGATAACGGGTTGTGTGCGCTTGCGTGTGGGGATGCCTTTTACCTTGTTGCATCACAGTGCATTGTAGGTATTGCCAAACAGCCTCATAACCAGCACCTCCAGGCGCTTGGGTGGCTATGCGCCGGAGGCCTGGAGACTGGAGGGGAGGTGTACTTGTGCGAAACTCCTAACTGAAGTACTGTGGGCTTCGCTGCAACCCCAGTGTCCCATAGAGAAGCTCAAGGGCCTTTCTTACACTCATAGTTCACGGGTGGCTAGTGAGGGAAACGTACTGCACCTCCGGAGCAAAGGGGCATTGTAGCATAGTCGTGCGGTTTTGGCAAGTCTGTCTGTAGTGGCCCGATGAACACATGCCCGGCAATTATAGGCAAAAGGGAAGCAAGCAAAAACCCAACAACTGTCTTTCAATTTCTATGCATGCAGCTACGAAGGCAGCTACAGACACTTGAGGCGCTGAACTCGCGACACCTAGAGAGTGAGGACGGAGGCTAGTGGTAAACAGCCGTCTTCTAGTGGACTCGGAGCTTCTGTATCAATGGTAAAATGCAGGCCTGTTTATTGAAGAAAGGTAATCGGTAACCAGTTGCACCGCGGAGAGTGATCTAGAGGTGATGTTGCCGATTGTGGGAGATATTTGCGCGTCAAAGGGACGGAAAATACCGTTTTGACGGTCATTTCAGGAGGCAAGGAGGCAGGTTTGCGAACAGTGTGGATACTGAGCTTTTGGATGTGGGGGTTATGAAAGCCAGCCCCACTCCGAAGGAGATAAAAAGCAAAAGCCGGCAGTACCCGCGGAATTTGGCAATCAAAATGCCGGGAGGCCATAAGGAGTGGAACGTCTGCTTCTTGGAATAAAACAACTAACGTACTTCAAAAGTGCACATGTGCTAAAGCGTTGGAGAAACAAGCCTCCCGGAAGCTCCATCCGGAGGCCAAACAAGGCCAATAAGAGAAATGCCAGTGCTCCCGTGCAGCATGAGATTCAGTGAAAGGTCTGAAGAAGGTGTCAGCTGCACCCACAGACCCTGTCCGGTTTTCCTGTTGGCTTGTACAAGTTCGTATTAGTGACAGGAGTTGCTAGCTCTGCTTGGCAGAGGCTACGAAGGGGATATGATATTTGAAACTACCCACGGTATCACCGGCGCAGTCTGTGCTTCTATGCTTCGCAGATGAATGGCATGCCACGCGAATTGGCAAAACTAAATGGGAGATTAATTCAAATGTGGGTTATATTACTGTGCCACGAGGCTTCAGAGCTGGACCGGTTCACTGCGGCATAATCCTAGACACACCTTGGGTGACCGTTGGAGGCCTTACATGTGCCTGCCTGGTGACACAATTAGGTGTAGTTGGCTGGAAATTGAGAATACACATCTCAGCATTTCCAGTGGCATCTGCACCTTCTACGGTGATAAAAGTGTAAAGCGAAGGGGTCAGGACACTGAAGACAAACTATCAGAACAGAACCACGTAGACCAAAAGGAATGAGCAACTCCTTGCACTTCAGAGAGCAACCTACCATCCGCTTCCTCAGCTCTCCGTGGGAACGTGCAGTCATTTTGAATGATGTGGGATTGGTTGCAAAACAACATATTGGTCGCTTGCCAGGTTCTCCTGGCTTCCTGAATGCCGAATTCGCCGGTTGACACTGCGGATTGCTTCGGCTTTAACTCTGCAGGACTTGTAGTAACAGGCCAAACATTCATACTCACCATATTCGAATATCTTTGCAGAGGCTTTCCTTAATTCCACTCCAACACGAGCTACGTGGCATTTTTCTCCCGTTGATGCAGAATGTGTCTATCATCGTGATGACTTCCATCCTTTCACCGCGTAGTGTCCTCTACACTGCTCATCCAGTTTCCTCTTACCGATCTTCTAGAGACAGTCCTGATTCACGATAGTCATATATGAACTCAAACCAATGTTAGTCTTCCGCTTACCAAGGAAGGGTGCTTCAGCAGAGCGGTCTCTATTCATTGCCTCACCTATTAATGTTCCTTCAATTCGCCCACGCACAGTTTTCCTGCAATGCTGGGGACAAAGCAGCATCTCAGTCCAGGTCGGAAAGCTTCTACAGTCATTCTGTACACCCGCAAACTGGTGTCCTTCTTCATGCCTGTTTTTGGAATATAGAGAGTGCCCCTGTCAATTTCGTATGCATGTTGAATACGAAGGAACATCCCCTGGCAGGCAGATAATTCCTCCACAGTGCCCCTAGCTAGCCTCTCGGCCTATATAGATGATTAGAAGAGGAGGAGACATTCTCCACGAATTGTTTTCTCGGAAGTCCCACAGCAACGCAATGCACAGCAGTTGGCCGCCTGCCCGCAGGTGGGCAAGTCCCGTTCAACATATATGAATATATAGAGGAGGTACTCGACAGACAGAACTGTTGACAATTGTGTTCGGCACCTAGTTCCGCCCTTTCCTGGTTTTTCGGGCAATGGACCTTGGCGGCTAATGTGTGCTATACACAAGCCTACCCAGCAGTTTTGGTGAGGTTCGCTGCTCTAGCCTGCCCATGCTAACCAAACGGTGCTATCGCCAACGGCCGCGTTTAGCTGCAACAGGCGCAAGCCATTGCGAAAGGGATTTCTTCGAAGGCAGGTGAAATGCCCTCCGGTTTGCACGCCTACTACTCACAAAATAACCATGAAATGGGGCTGCTATGGAGGGGGAATGTCCTGGGCTACCGTGAGTTTCAGCAGTCCTCTCGGCAACTCCTGGTGGAAGGCAACCCCACATGCAAGCATAGGGAGGCCCCCGGTAGTGCATTCTCATTCGTTGTCCACAGCTGTTAAATTGTCTTCGTGCTTGTGAAGCACATATTTGGCCCTCAATAACAAGCCTGCACGCAACTGAAGGCGCATGTGCCAGCTTCAAACAGAATTTGCGAAGCGGCCGCAGGGCACACTGGTAGTCGGTTGTGGCGGAATTGGGGGTCAGCACAGAGGGATCTACTTGGTGAACTGGAGCTACAAAGGAAAAACTCGTCTTTTAATGCAATAAAATGGAGCATTGGGGGGAGGCCTTCAAAATTGCCATTACTACCTCAGCGGTGGCCTGTCCTATTCCACCACGGGAAGTGCAAGTCAAGGAGCACGGACGAAGCACACGCGCAATAAGAAAAGGCGTTGATGTAGGGGTTTCATCATACAGGCGTACTGTGCCTTAGCTCTAAAGGCTATGTTCTTTACGACTACCCCGCCGTTACTGGTGCTGGCGAAGGTCACAGGGTAAGTCGCGGTCAGTAGGGGAACGAGAGGCGGAGGAGGCTGAATATACAGCTTTATTGGATGCTAATTGATTTCCACAAAAAAAATTAAAAACACAAATGTGCTAAAATTTACGGCAGTATGAGTTAAGGGCAGAAGCCCCGCCAACGAAGGCGTGCAAGTGCTGACCGGGTGACACTACAGCGCAGGCCCCAACGGTCTGCTACGCCGGTGAGGCTTTCCAAGTAATTCCTAAGATCTAACGTTGTCTATTACAGCGCCTTTTTCTATACTTTTGAACAGAAGATAATTCGCTGGTGCACGCAGAGTCTAGAGATCGCACCTCAGAGTATCTCGGACGCCCGCAGTGGACCTCCCAGGAGCCACTCATCGCCCAAGCCAGTGTCGGCGGCGGCCGCGCCGACCCACCGGGCTGATGAAGACCACTTTCCTTAAGATTTAGCATTTCAACAAGACTTCCTGACAGAGAGGAGATACCTTAGAGCAGTGATTCCTCAGGATTTGGCGAGCTGCACGAGCACCTAGTGGCCGACGCGAAGTGCACTGAGTGCTCGCTTTCTTCTGTTTGGCGTTCCAAGGAGACCTCACACAGCGGAAGGAGACCTAAACATTTATCAGCGGAACTCCCTTTCTTGTGTATGGAAGAATTTCTTTTCCCGGCACAATCCATTTTATTTGTCAACCTGACGGTGCGCCGTGAGCCCGGAGTAGCTCCCCTTCCATCGCAGCGTTTCAGTATCTATTGTCGGCTGCTAGCACGACACCAGGACCTTTTGCCCAAGCGAAGGGAATTTCCGCGCTTAATTATACGTAGACTTCCCTGTTACTCTGGACGATTTCCATACATGAGGGGCTCCCTCCCACTACCCGCCCAAGTATCGCAGTGAAATGAGCATGAACTCATAATGACAGAATCGGCGGGCCCACTGGGCAACTTCCTCGGAAGTTTGGGCGGAGTATTTACAGAGTTTACTTGGTCACCCTTGGAGCTCTTCCTCTTGACGGCGTCTGTAGCCCTCACTGTATCGCAGGTGCTCGTATCTTTTTGCATTCTTACATACTTCCCAACGCCGCTCTATCTGACATGGTGGCAGCTGCTCCAGCTCTTGATTAGCGCTTCTATAGTGGGGGAACTGGGCGTCGCCTTCCCTCAGGCCACTTTGTTTCCTCGTGTAAAGTTGGGGGGGTTCAAATGCTTCTTGCGGCTTCTGCCGTATTCCTTGGCTTACTGCGCCTTCCACGCAGTATCTAACATCACGATATCTGCAATAGCCCATCCAGCAGCTCTTCCTGTTGCTTCAGGGCTCTTAGTTGCTTTTCACCATGTGTTCAGATCAGCAGGGTGCAGCACAACTTACAGTCCCCTGAGGTGGTGCGCGGTGGGTCTGTTGGGGCTTTCCTGTCTCTTCTCTTTGGGCTACCTTGACTTCTACTACTGCATTTTATTGGCTATTACCTCCGCGCTCTATCGGGGAGCATACTTGCCCAGGGCTTTGCACCTGAGCGGAGCAGACGAAGGCACACTGACAGCGGCATGCAGCGTCACTGGGATGCTGGTGCTGCCCGTTTTCATATGGTTAGCCGGAGAACAACCAGCTCTGATACCTGCTTTTAAGCTGGCGTCTTTTGACAAACAGGAATGGCTTACTTTGGGATGTTGGGTGACTGCTGGAACAATCCCCTTTTTCAAAAGTCTAGCAACCAACAAACTCATGAAGACCTCTGGCGCTCAAGTTTGGCGCATCAGCGAACTGGCTTCCGTAGCAGCTATCTTCGTCTGTTCTCTGCAGATGTGTGGAGCCGTTGGGGCAGCCCTCTGGGGGGGCATGGCCCTCCTACTCCTAGGAAGGCTATGCTGCGCAGTGGACAGCTACGAGGAGAGGAGAGAACTTGACCCCCGGCTTAGTCGGACGTACTACTCCCGCAGACTCAGCAGCCGCAGAGGCTCTTCGATGGAGGAATCATTCGCTGTAATTGAGGAGGGTCTTCTAGATCATATATCTCCTGAACAAGCCAACGACATTACGAGCCAACTAACTGGTCTCGTCAAAGCCTACGTCACTCGCACACAGTGCGAAGACCTCACTCTTCTGAAGAACATTGGCGGGGGAGACGGCATCGCGCACATGCTACACGTCTCTCGAAACATTGGGCTCTCAGATCAGGAGGATATTGAACAACGACGTAAGTTATTCGGTGTGAACAAACTCCCTTCCCGCGCCTCTGCTTCTTTCTTCTCTCTTTGTATTGACGCTGCATCCGATAACACCTTGCAGATTCTCATGGTCTGCGGCTTGGCTTCCATTATCTTATCTCAACTCTTTGGCGAAAACCCCCAAGTTGAGTGGATGGAAGGCGCTGCCATTTGGGTGGCCGTATTGGTCGTCGTCCTCGTCACAGCCGGCAATGACTGGCTCAAAGAACAACAGTTCCGTCAGCTTTCCGCCGTAAAAGACGACAAGCGCTGCACCGTGTTGCGAGATGGCTGCCCCACACAAGTGTCCGTGTTTGACCTTGTGCTGGGCGACCTGCTGCAGTTCGAAGCAGGGGATGAACTGCCAGCAGACTGCGTAGTGATTGCTTGCCGTGGGCTGCGTATGGACGAGTCCTCCTTAACCGGAGAATCTGAAATGATAAAGAAGGATACCTACGAGGATTGTATGACGCAGCTTGTAGACGGCAACACTCGAAGTCCCCGGTCGATGCAACACCATTTCATATCTTCCCCCGTTGTCCTTTCCGGAACAACTGTGAACAGCGGAAGTGGTACAGCAATAGTCATAGCGGTTGGCCCTCATTCGCAAGCTGGGCAACTGTACCAGAAGCTTTCCTTCGACACAGAAGCAACGCCATTGCAACTGAAGTTGAATGCGCTTGCTGGAGACATAGGCAACTTTGGGCTAATATGCTCCGTTATTGCTTTTTTCGTCCTTGTACTAGAGTATTGGATTATTTTTGCATACACAGAAATTGATCAACGCCCTCCGCTTCTCGGCATCGTCAACAGTCACGTGCATTTTTTTGTTACAGCCATAACGGTCCTCGTCGTTGCTGTACCTGAGGGGCTGCCTCTGGCGGTCACCATATCTCTGGCGTATTCCATTGGGCAAATGCTTGCGGACCAGAACTACGTGCGGCGTTTGGGAGCGTGCGAAACGATGGGTTCTGCCAATGAGGTGTGTTCAGACAAAACAGGTACACTTACAAGGAACCAAATGAGCGCCGTGGAATTTTGGGACGGTTCCGAAACCGTTCACATTCCTTCTGCCTCATTTGCCGGCCCAGACACAACTGGTGTAGCAGGTTTCAATGAAAGAACGGCGAAGTGGGAGCTCGTTTCCGAAAGTATTGCTTTGAACTCAACAGCATTTCTCGAAAAAATGGAGACGATGACATTGAATAACGGACAGGAAACAACACGATACACAGTGAAATATGTGGGCTCTGCAACAGAATGCGCCCTACTGGAGTATAACGACTTCATCTGCGGTGCGGACTACGCAGAGACGCGGCGATTAAAGGGGTCTGACTCCCTCATTGCTCACCGGGAAGAGTTCTCTAGCGACCGTAAAATGATGACGACGGTTGTTTACCGGGAGGAGTGTGGGGGTTCGCATGTGAGGGTGTATGTAAAGGGCGCTGCAGAAAGAGTTCTTCAGTTGTGCAACGGTGTGATGACCGCCAGCGGTCAGATCCAAAAATTGCAGGCAGAACACAAAAAGGAGGTTGAAGATTGCATCATCGATGGAATGGCCCGTGAGGCCCTGAGGACAATCTGCATTGCCTACCGCGAATTCGACGTGAACGATTTGCCCAACTGGAAGGAGAAGCAGCCTGCCCCGAAACAGTTGTTTTTAGTTGCTGAACAAGACCTTATATGCCTGGGCATATTCGGCATTCAGGATCCCGTGAGAGACGAAGTCCCGGGAGCGGTGGAGAGGTGCCACCAGGCAGGCATCAATGTGAGAATGGTAACGGGGGACAATCTTATCACTGCAAAAGCCATTGCAAAGAAGTGCCACATTTTCAATGAAGAAAGAGGGGATCTGGCAATGCTGGGCCCCGAGTTCACACAGCTTGTCGGCGGTGTTGTCTGCCAAAGCTGCAGAACTGTCGTATGCGGCTGTGCAACTGATGCTAAGACAGCAGAGGCAGAAGGGAAGAACCTCCGCGTTGATGTTGTCGCGAACATGGATGCTTTTGAGAACATCTGGAGGCGCCTTCAAGTTCTGGCGCGCTCCCAACCGTCCGACAAATACGTCCTAGTTACAGCTTTAAAACAACTAGGCCAGGTAGTAGCTGTGACAGGCGATGGCACCAACGATGCGCCTGCGTTGAAGAAAGCAGATGTCGGCCTGGCAATGGGCATCACCGGCAAAGAAGTGGCGAAGCAGGCTGCTGATATTGTCATGCTAGACGACAACTTTCAGTGCATTGTGCAAGCTGTAAAGTGGGGACGCAATGTATACAGCAATATCCGGCGTTTTCTGCAGTTTCAACTCACCGTTAATGTGGTTGCTGTAATCACCACAATTGTCTGCGCAGCTTTACTGCGAGACTCGCCCTTGACCGCCGTGCAGATGCTGTGGGTCAATCTCATCATGGACAGCTTTGGATCCCTCGCTCTTGCAACGGAGAAGCCGACTCCCGATCTTCTTAAGGAGAAACCGCACCACAGGAATCAGTCGCTCATTTCGCGGTCTATGGCGCTCACCATTACAACATCTGCATTGTACCAACTCGTTGTCATGATGGTTCTCATATTTTTTGGAGACTGCTTTCTCCCCGAAAAAGAATGGGGCTATCTTTTGCCGGCTGATAGATCCAATAATGACTTTTGTGAATTCTCAGACTGCGATCCAACAACAGGTCAGTTCAAGTGGTTGTGTCATACCAGTCCTTAATTTCCGTGGGCATGAGAAGACCCCAAAAAACGTTAGAGTGCAGTTGAAAATACTGATGGCAATAGAAACAGCTTTCAGTTGTGCGCATTTCCGTTGCTCCAGGGCATGGGAGCCTCATGAGATCTGGCAGAAGATTCAAGTTGTTCTCCACCGAAGAAGACTACGAAGAGAGTTGGATAGGAATTATTGGGCCGTCTCGGCACCTGACATTTGTGTTCAACACATTCGTTTTCATGCAGTTGTTCAACATGATTAACGCCAGGGATGTAGAAGAGGATTTTGCCAAAAAAATGTCTTTGCCGAGACTCTTCGTCAAGATGGCAAGTAATCCTTTGGGGTTCTTTATTTGGCTGTTTATTCTCTGCTCGCAAGTCTTGATGGTGGAATACGGCGGCCCCATGCTCGGCTGCCACCGGGAGGTAAACCATTCAACGCGTTTAGATTTTGCAAATAGTGCTCCCAACCACCATCTTTCTTCACGCCCTGTAGTGTTCCGCATTCCCTTCCAACACAACTGTTAACATGCGTAGTCGATTAATATGTATATAACCACTAGCAGCTGGGAATTTACGGCTACGTGACAACAGATGTGTAAATACCTCTTTTGCTGTACCATCGAGGAATATGCAATATTGTTGCTTGGGGCGCTGGGTGGGTTTGCATTTTCTGCCTGCGTTTCTCAGGGCCTTACTTTGGAGCAGTGGTTATTGAGCTTACTCATCGGGTTCGTTGGCCTGCTGTTCGCCCGCATTCCACAGTGCTTTCCACGGATTACACGGATGTTTCCAGAATTCGGAATGAGGGAAGAAGATCTTTCAGAGAAAGCTTCCCTCGCCTTGGGCCTTCGCGGCCGATCGCCGTCACGCATGAACGACCGCTGCATGATAAGCACTCTGGCTGTAGCTAAGAAGTATGCAAGGCGCGCCAAAGTCCTGACAATAAGCAGAATGAAGGCGCGTAGAGGCGCACCCCGAGCTGGACAGCCAGCTGATACAGCGATTACCGATGCGTACCTTCCAGTGCAAGTCACTGCCTAAGCGTATCCGTCACTAGGTAGTCCTACTGCTGAACTGCACCTTCCTGCGGGAGTGTTCGAGAACACGAGCAGGCCTGTATGCAGGCTTTTGTCCCCTAAGCAACCCTGATACGCGGTTCTGACGAAGCAGGCAAGGGCTCTCTGTGTCAAATGACGTCAGGACATCACGCTCCTCCAATGCAATGCACTGCATGCAAGCGTCCTCTGTCGCCTGGCTGTGAATGCAAAAACGCAGTGGTGACAGTACTGCTCCCCTCCTCGATTTCACGCTGTTTCCACTCAGCGAACGTCGGGCACGGGACTTCGTCTCGTCCCCATTGAACAAAAAGAACAAAACGGTCAGGGCAGACTTGTGCTGCCAACAGCTGGTACGGCTCCCGTCCCGTCTAGGCTGCGAGGCCCTATTCAACGACTATTAACACAAACTAGAGGTATATGCGGCCTGTGGTAGTGTGGCTATTCAAAAATCCGTTTTCTATGTTCCTCCAATCATATTGGGTCTGCTATTGTCCTGCATGGGTTAGGCTGAGTGGCCCTCGTTCCCAACTCACTCGTATGTGCGCGGAACGGTGGGAATACAAACCTTCCCCCCCGATACTCTTATTATCTACAGATGACCCAACAAAGACAGCTCCCATTTTTTACTAATATACAGGTGTAGAGACCCACAAACAAGGCCTGGTCCCCCTGGAACGCGACCGTGTTGACCCCCTAAGAATGCATATAGGAAGTCGCTATATAGTTTCCCGAGTGTACAGTAAATATGGCCACAAAGGCAATATTTGCGTTGTTCACAAAAATATGGACGTTGTGACGCACGCCCCCTACGCGGGCTGTCTGGTGGGAGCGTCTCCACCTCTAGCAAAAGTGAATTCCTATTCGATAATAGGCATGAGACTACATTGATGTTTAAGGGGGAATGCAACTTCCGCGTGATTACTTTTAAGAAAACCCCTCAGTGAGTCGTGTTGTATACTTGAAGGCACATGGTGGTTGAGCTGGACACAATCATGCTGACTTCTTTACCGCTAAGTTCCCCCTCTTCCATGAGTTTTCTCGCGGCTCTGTGTCAAGAAATAGACCGATATTCCCCTGCCACTGCCGTACTGGTCAAATTCGTTGATCAATGCTGGTGTCTGGCACACCGTACAATTCCCGTTGCACCCTGAAGGCGATTTTCGAACAAGTTAAGATGTAATTGGGGATCTCTTATCAATAACGTTAGGGTTAATTGTATTATCAATATTGCTATTCAAGTGGAAACTGCTGCTTCTAGTTATGAGCCTACGGCGTTCGTGCTCGCCTGCTTGTGGCTGCATGCCCGACCCCAAAATATGGCTGTGACATGCTACTAACGTATAGTGGGCCGCTTTCACCGTTGTCAGGAAAATAACTTTATTTAGAACTGTACAGATTGTACCGGCGTCCGTTGGGCTTCTATAAAGAATGAGCTTCTTCGCCTACAGTCTCCCACATCTGCTTCACCGGGTGCAGGTGGAAGCATGCTAGGCTTGGCAGTCTCTTGAAGGAGAAATAAGTCCCCTTCATAATGGCCGTATATATCAAGCAAAGCCCTCCCCGCGAGGGAGTACGCGGGGGGTGGGAAGACTTCAAGTGGGAGTCTCTCAAAACACAGACGAACGCCGACCGCGACTATTACCTCGGTGAGTGCAGCCAATAATCCGCCTATGCGCGTTGCGTAGTATGTGCAGTCGAGCCGAAGTGAATTGGTTGGGGGGCCAAAACGCTGCTCCTTTTTTGGTTGGTGGCGTGTCGCTTACTTCTACTCTTTTTTTGCAGCTCGCCCTAACGAGCATCATATTGATCTTGAGTATGTGGACCGTACATGCATCGAGTCCTGCGGTGCTAATAGCCAAGTACATAGCGCATTTGCACCGTAAACACCATGAAATGCAAATTAGCTTTACGTGGATCGTTCTTCGCCGTATTTATTCCTCGTTTTTACAGAAGCACTCGCTTGTTTGCTACTTATCCTGCGGCATCTCTGCGGGGTGCAGGTGCGAGCGCGAAGGTGGGGATATGCACGCGGGGGGGGAAATTCGAGAAGTACGATTGGTGGACGAAGAAGAAAGAGGCTGACGGTCCCAGTGGAGTTGAAGACGAGGAACTACGGAGAGTGAAGCGCTTCGAGCAACAACTCCTGGAGGAGGCTTTGTAAGGGAACAAGCATTGAGTCGTTGTGTGTCACTGTTTGAGCCATAGGAACTTTTTGATGATGTAACGATAGCTTTGGTGCATGCTGCACTTCATTCTTGTGCGTTTCGTCTGTTTTTGACAGGGGAAGAAGGCCGCGCCATCTCCTCGCAGGCGAAGCCCTTGCAGATGAAGAACCAGCAGAGCCACCGGTAGCTACAACTGCAGCTGCCGACGACCGCCGGGCCGCTGAGAAAGCGCTGAAGAAGCTGAAGAAAGAACAAAGGTGAGCACTACGCCTTCACTGCCCAGACAGTGTTGTGGGAGTGAGAAGATTCAGTGTGTGTTGACTTCATTTTCTGGCGCCGTGCAGGAAGTTGAAGAAGCTGCGGAAAAAGGAGCACAAGAGGGAAGCAAAGCGTCTGCGGCTGAAGAGAGAGCGACACAGCGAATCCCGTTCCCCGCGACGTCGTTCCTCTTCAGTTGACAACGAAAGGCGCGGCGACAGCCACAGGCATGGTCGCGTCAAGAGGCGTCGGGGCAGCCCGAGTCCGAGTAACCATGATACACGCAAAAGCAAAAGCCGTCGTGCAGACGGACCGTCAGTTGACGTTGCTAGGATAAAGCGTTGTTCGTCTGAGGAAAGAAGACCCGCTGAGATGAGGTTGGAGGGGAAGGAGCGGATGCAAAGAGAAGAACGCAGGGAACAGCGGGATAAAGATAGGCATCACAGGGATACAGATAGACACCATACGCGCCGGCGTTAATATAGTTAGGCCGCCGTATAGTTGAACCATAAACCAAGCCCTTGAGCGGGGTGCACTGTACCGCTGAGCTAACTTTTTTTTTAGCTGGCACTCATTTGCCTTCTCAGTACTTTTAATTAGCATTTTTGGCGGTTGCGTGTCTACACCTTATGTGGAGGTGGTTAAAAGCCTGTCCTAGGGGTCAGCACAACTTGTTTTTTTTTGCAGTATTGCTACCTTGTTCCGGCTGCGACTTCACCCCCGTCCCTAATTTTCAAAGCAGCAGTGCCAGTAATAACTAATTTCTATGGTGCGACTGGCGATGTAGGGTGCATGACTTGCTACCCACCATAACACTGTTGGCGTTCTCTAGCTGGTCCTTCCAGCACGTCTGCAAATTGCAGTTGACGTTTCCAAATCAGCATGAGCCGAGGGTTAGGGGGTCATGTTTCCCTTTTATTTTCTAAATCCACTGTGCCTTCAGTTGTAGCAAGTTGACAGTCCAGAGCTCTAACTGACTTGACTGTTCTATTTTTAGTCTACCTGGGAGATTACAACATTGTTAGGTTTCAACAGGTTAAGCCCTTCTCCTTGGGGACAGAGATGTAATGCCCCATCAAAAACGTACATTGGCACTCTTTACAATAAGCCGATTCAGTCCATCCAACCACTTGGCTACACGTCAGTGGCACTTCCGTTGAACAGTATCAGCGCAGAACCGTATGACCGCATTTTTGCAGGAAGCTGAAAGCAGCATCACTTGAACTTTTTGTTCGTTTTCTCGCTCGAACTGGACAAACTATCCCAACAGTCTGCAACCACTTTCAGTAAGACTTGCTAGTCTCTGCGGCGACCCCCTAGCAGCAAAATTGACCAACGTCCAACTTCTTTGGGGGGACACACCTAGAGGTCAGTCTAAACAACAGGCAAAGCATAGAGACTTAAAAAGCGAGCCACCAGTTTCTCAATGAAAAACATCAATCGAGGTGCACAGACACCTGTGACTGTTTCGCCACAGAGTTATCCTGGGTAGCTTTATATTGGAAAATCTAGCTCCTCGAAAAATGAATCCAAATGTCTACCGAGGAAAATGAAAAGGCACACTATGAGCATCGCAGGCTTTGCGCGCGCGTTGTGGCACTGCCAGTATCAGCTGCTTAAGATGCGGGCTCAATTAATTATGCTCGGCACTTTCACAGTACTGTTCTTTTATCCACAATCCTTCCTCGTCAAGCAGCACAAGAGAAATTCCACTGCAAGTTGATGCCACTCCAGACACCAAAGTCCTGACGCAGGGGATGTAGGGCAAGCTGCTTCGAACAGTCTGGCAATACGAGAAATACGACGTGCCGGTCTCAATTACCAGTGTCAGCTGATGCAAAGATACCTCTCCACGCTTGTACGTCGAAACATTCGTCTGATGAGAGCCTCCATGGCCTTGGCCGTCCAACCGCAGAATACACTTCCGTAGGGAAGCGGCACCCTGCAGCCAGTTTAACCTACTGGTGTTCATCCTAGGGAAGTAAGGACAGTCCACCCTACGGTTTGAGCCGTATGCTCACTTCCGCCTCCTCAGTGGAAGCGCAAACGATTTCAGTCCGCAGCTGGTACCCTTCGATACTTCTACTGCCGCTGCATGAACCTCATCGAGGCTGAACCTGATGCCCTGCAAGTGATAGAGAATCTTCATTATCACGAAAGCTGAGGCTGTGCGCGCTGCTGAGGATAAACGGGGCTCTGTACATTTTTCCCCCAGGCAGTTCAACAGTGCAACAACAATCCTCTGAGCACTGTTGTCCACAGCCGAGCTGCAGTCTTCATAAGCCTGAAAAAGTTGAGGCATCACAACCCCCCACATATCCGCACAATGGAATCGACTGTAGCACCTAACTTTGGAAGGATGCCGGTGCCACTGTGAGGAGGCAATTTTAATACATCGCCTATGCTGTCTATACTGGTGCTCCTCTGTTGCTCTAATAATTACGCTGATGATGGAGTCTAACATTAATCTTCTACTAAGCTGCATCATTCCACATCCACTGTAGCGCAACTAAATGCACCGCCAACAACGTAGCTTTTGGTCCCAGTGAAGCATACCTGCTCACGGCTTTCAGGGCTCTCGCTTTGGCGGTCATATCGCCGCCGGCAACGCATGACCGCATTGCTCAGTACCGGCAATGAGGAGCACAAATTCACACTGGCAGCAGCAGAAAGAGTGCAAAGGGAGTCGCATGCGGCCAGCAAAGCTTCCTTGAGCTCGACTCCTGCACCACAAAACAATATATCCTAAATAAGAGAATTAAGACCCAACTACAAGAGGGTTGCCTCAAGATTTCTTGCTGCCGCATGAGCAACTGCCAGCTCACCCTTTTCTGTTTGAAAGAGCTCTCGCAAAGCCAAGCAGTTGCCTCGCCTCATCAGTGAGACGCTCCAGCTCCTTGCTGCCAACCGCTTATCCTCCATTCCATCACCTTGAGTGTCTGAATCTGCCATGGGTAACAACTCTAGCGCCTGTGTCTCTGCCACTATCTTTGTAGCGGCAACTGCTGACTCCTCCCAGTCCTGGAGCAAACCTTGTACGAGCTGAGCAGTTTCCTGCGCTTCCAGTAGTATGGAAGTCGACGCGACCTTCACCTTTGTGAGGGACGGGGGAATCTTCCACGGTGACAGTGGAACGTAGCTTCCCTCCTTCAAAAGCATTGACCCTGAAACAAGCTTCCCCTGTATATCCTTCTCTAGTGCCCTGGCCGCTGTAGCAATTTTTCTTTTTTCACTGTACACATACGTGCAACCGCACATGCTCGAGCCTTCTAGCACGAATATACTTAAAAGTGAACGCGACTGTTCAGCATGAGCCTCGTTACTGCTCACCTTTGCAAAGACCCTGCAGTATTATCGGCAGATGTGCCTTGCTCCTCCCTAGGCAATTCGAAAAGCGCGAGTAAACCCTGCACTAAGTGACTGGCTTCTCTTGTGCACCCCTGCATAACCTGGCTGTAGTTGTTGCAGGCACACGTCGCCGAACTGGCGCAAGGTGGCAGATGAGCCACAATAACAGCCAAAAGAATGCCCATAAGATTGCTCAAAATTCGGGTAGTCGCCAGGTAGTCCTGATCCCCTGCACGCAAAACACAAGAGAATTTCGATATCGCACTGAGCCATCCCCGACCCTAGTGTGGACCATCTAGAACATGCTTTTAAAATGGGATAGTCATGCAAATGATACAACGCAAAAATGGGTGTCAGTCTGTGACCAGCGGCGCAAGGGTGATGCATACTAAAGTGTACGGTTGTAGGTTTTGCGTTTAGGGTTCCGGGCTGGGCTGACCCATACTGACCTGTCAAGCCCCCTAGATCGCCTGTAGCCAAAGTAACAACGAGCGACTGCGTATACGTGAAAACCATTCCGGAGTACCCCCACCTTTTGCTGAACCCGTCAAGAGGGTGATGGGGGTCGGCAAAAGCAAAAATGTCGATGAACACAGTAACTGAACAAAAGGCGATGAGGGCTGCCAAACTTCCGCCAAACAGCTTCATTCCCAGCCAACCAAAGAACGATCCTAGCAAAATACCCACTGTGCGGGCAAGGCCTCGATGCACAGTGCCGTTACATGTCGTCTGCAGCACTGTAAGGTACCCGAGTAAGAACCATGGCACCATACGAGTTGCGACGCCTTGATTGGAAAAGTCCAAAAAGATAGGACTTTCCGTCACCTTGACACCTGCAACGCAGCAGAAACCGTTCCCTCATGCATAAATGCCAATAGTGGTGCTCTAACGCCTCCCCAATAAGTCCGAATTGGTGAGAAATGGTCTTTAATGCTGCAGCTCCAGTTGGCGTACTGTACTGATAATGGGACGCCCATTTGCTCGCTCAACCGGCGATCGGTTATGCTCTTTGCAGTGGATTGTGAAGCCCTCTCCATGTGGGTTCTACTTGGTTGTGGCCTTACCCCAAGAGTACTGAAGAAATTCCGGGAAGCAAATGCCGCAGGCGAAAATGACAATTAGGGGAATGACCAACTTGACAACATACCAAACCTCTGGGTCTTTCCACCAAGCACGCGGCCCTCGCCACTGTTTCCACCAAAATGCTAAAGCCGATAGGGGAGCTACAAGTAGTCGTTGGGCATGCACAGCGACGGGCAACAACGGGAATACTAGGTTCATGCATGCCCCACGCCATGTATTGGTATGCTGTGCTTTGCTCAAAGCACACACTGCTCGGCTCAGCCACAGGGGCTCCGAATAGCCGGTTTGCACGAATGCAGTGACGGCAAGGCCCACGGGAAGGAGCTCCATGGCACGTGCAAAAGACGTCTGGCGGCATACAGATGTGGATTCTTCTACAGGATTTTTCTCTGCAGGTGTTGAGCCATTTACAGGAGAGCTGTCTGCCTCCAGCTGGAGAAGTGCATTCTCCGTGTCTGCTTCTGACGGGCGGAAGACTGCCCAAGCCAACGAACGCATTTCGCCTTCAAGAAGGCTCATCTGCTCCATCAGCTTATCTGATTTCTCCCTGCTTTTGGTGGGAGAAAATATGGAGGGAAACGTCGTCAACAGCTCCTCGCAGAGCTCGTACATCCGTATGCTCCGGTCCAACAGGTCCCTGCCAGCAGAAGCCAGCGAGGGATTTGAATTCAGCCTGCCAATGGCATTCGTGCCTTGAGGGCGGATCATCATCTGCAGGACGTTTTGCGTCTGCACGCTGCACTGAATCAACCTCTTTCGAACTTCGTCAAGCGCCTTCATTGTCCACACGCCGGGGCCTGGGTAGAGCAAGAACGGCTCCATGCCAGACATCAGAGTAGCTTTCTGGATCTCCAGCAGACTCAAGACGACTTGGTCCAGGTCGCGGACAGCCCCCTTATCAAGACTACAAGCCTCCTCCTCCGATATTTGCGCTGCTCCACACTCCACATCACGCCGATCTTCTTGGTCATTCTCAATCACTTCCGTGGTTTGTAAAGCCTGCTCGTTTGGCGTGTTCGCTGCATTTAGCTTGTCCCTAACAAGGCGCAGAGACCTGCAAAGCGCAACGGGCAATCAACAGCTTGCTGTACAACTGGCCTATGGAGGAGAAACCTACTGCATTATCCCCGTGCAACCGACAGTTTTGACACAAGAACACAGGATGCCTTACTTGCCGATGACGCTGCACGCGTTTGCCATTTCTCTGACAGCAACGTCCCGTTGCCGCCTAACCGGTGGTACAAGCATGACTAAAAAGTATACAGCAAATCCCAGAAACGCGAAGATGATGAGGTTTCGGAGCATTCCGACGGCTCCGGAGGCCACCCAGACGGCCCTAATGAACCAAGTTCCAGGTCTTGCTCCAACAGTTAGAATTTCTCCGCTGACCCCTTCTATGAAAAAGGGTATGTCGTACATCCAGTCTTGAAGTATATCCAACCCCGCATCTCTAGGAATTGTTTTTTCATATGAGATATGCTTCCCCTCCGGGAAGCTACCGAGAACTGTCAAATAGAGACCTAATGCCTCTTGGGGGCTTATCTGCAAGTCTTGTGGGAGGGTGGGAAGTTTAATATGCAGAATGCGGGCAACCAAAACCAGCAGCCGCACAGCCGCAGGTTTCGTAAGCACCGAAACGAAGTCGACCGCCTTGTCAGGGGAAACCATAAGAAAGCTAGACACTGTAGCTAAGATATCGTCCATGCTGCTGTTTGCGATAAATGTTTTCAAAGCCTCGTACCTCTCGGGCGTTATAACTATGCTTATGCCTCCAATTGCGTAGGGGGAGGCGATTAGCGTAGCAAGGGGGACGGCGTATAACAGTATGTAGGAGCCGATGAGGGTCATCTCCTTCGTCTTGGTGGTCGTCAAAAAAGAAGACCAGAGGACGAAGATGGTGTAGATGACAATACAGATAGCTTTTCCACCACTGCTTATCAACAACGACGAAATCAACGTAGTTGCCAGAGCACATGCCAGCAAGATACAGGCTAGGCCTGCAAACAGAAGAATCACCACTGAACTTAGCATCGGGGGGGCCAACGTGCCGGCAACGAAAAACAAAAAGGGTCCGATGTATTTAAAAGAGTAGTCCATGTGTGGAATGTCGCACATCGTCAGTGCCATGATTAGGGCACCACCCAGAGCCATTCGGAGCGCTCTTTCCGTGCGCCCCATGGCATTCAGCGCCACCCGGTTTGCGGGAATCCGCCGGATCAGCCCCCTGTCTCCTTGAACATCATGATGTTGGCCTTCATGACTGCTCCGAACCCCCGCAGAATCCCCCATGGCTTCCAATGCGGCTTCAATAGGCTCAACAGAACAACAAATTCGAATTACGGTTGGTGAACCGATTCCCAGAGTCCGCTGATACCCGCTGAGCTCGAACCTCGGGAAGAATTGCTACACGCAGTGCTCTGTGATAAGCACAGAGCGGTCTAAATAATGCGGAGACCCAGAAATAAGATGATTCGCGCCCAAGCGATGCAGTTGACAAATCCTTCTACAGGTCGTCAGGGCAGCTAGACCGTGCAGGTGGAGACAGTGGCAAGAAGTAACCAAAAGCGACAGCAGAGACAATTCGACACAAAATCGCGACAAGTGAAGTCAGAAGAAGACGCCAGTATCTACTACCTGCTCAATTGGGCTGGCCCGCGCCCAATTCGCCCTGCCAGCCAAACAGCATCGGTGGAACTAACGGCGGCATCAAAGCCGCACCAAGCGGGAAAAGAGCTGAGACTTTTTATAAATGTCAAATTACAAGTGACTGCAGGAGTCTCGCATTGACCTCATCCGGAGCAACTGCTCATGACCAGCTTCGCTGACGCCTTCCTCGCCGTCCCAACCGACTGCTGATGCACTCAGCAGGACACTGGAATTCTCCGGATGGACTAATGTCTCATGCTACAAGGGCTGGGACAAAAATGCTAGAAACAAGCTAAGTCAACTTGTTGTTCGAAAAAAAAATCTACGGGCGGACTAGTCAAGCAGCAGCAGGCGGTCTGTCTGTGTGCTGTGGCATGCACTAGAGTGTCACGTCGATTGGTAGTGACCGATCTGCAGCAGTCGGACTCATTAGTGGCCAGCATGGCTTCGCTCATTCATTATTGTCACTATTCGCAGTTCCTTTTGTGATATACACGAGCTGAGCGAGCAAGTAGCTAAGGAAGGCCTCTACATAATGTGCGGAGGAATTTCGAACAACAGAATGGTGTGCGCTGCACTGAAACCAGAACCGATGTTTGGGTGCGCTTAACATAAGTGTTCTTATTCTGTCTTCAAGCTAGAGTGAAGCATAGACTTCGCTATGTGGCAGCTTGCTCCATTCTTGACACTGCCATCTAGTACACCTGGTCAAGTGCACTAGGTAATCTTTGGTAACAAAATGCCAACTTGCAGTGTCTGCTTCAAACATGCTGAACTCACTAAACACTACATAAGGGTCAAACATATTCGTGGATGCTTCGCATGTATTACTTCCCTTCACAGAAACACGCGGAGTTGTTTGTGTGGGCTCGTGCTTTCCTCTACGCGTATGTGCTTGTTCTTATATGAGAATGGACTTACCCGTATATATCATATGCAGGTGAGTATCTGTGTAATTGCGTCTGTGTAGAAATGCGAGCGTGTGAGTACGTGAGCGTGGGCGGGGGCGCGTGCGCGTTTGCTTGCATGCTTGTGTGTACGCCCGGTTGCCCATGCACGTTTGTTACGCTTGCAAATGCATACATATGCTTGGCTTCTCTCACATAACAAGATTTGCCATTTCATGGGGCCTCTGCTGCCTTGAGTGTGCTCTTGTCTACTTTGTTGCTGATGGCATTGGCACCCACAACGATTGCAAGATTGCTTGCATACAATCACATGACTTGCATGAGGTCTCTTGGCGGGCATGGGCACGGTACGGATGTAAGAGTTATATACACAGTGTATCATAAAGTATGCTGCTCCCCTCATATGTTTTTCGGGCCACGATTCCTTATGCTGTTCTTCGATGTTCAGGGCAGTCATAAATGACAAAAATCATTGGAGCCGTCTGACTCCAGTGACAAACAGCTAATTTCTTGGCACTGTTCACGTCGACTCCTGAACAATCTGCAGGCCTACAGAGCGGCTGTGCAGCGAACTCGTCGAGTGGCACCAGTCGGGTGGCACCGCCGGAAAAAAGCGGGAACGGCATCCTGGCGGTTAAAGCGCGCTGCTGCCGAAAATATCCGTGCCAACAATTCGAAGATGGAGATGCATTAGGAGAACGCAGAAGGGCACATAGGCAAGGCTTGCATATGATGGAACAGGTACACCGTGTATATCGGATGAGGAGGCGCCGCCTTACCCGCCTGTGCTGAACGCGGGAGCGTGTGAAAGGTCTAGTAAGTTCCCAGACATGGATTATTGTTTCCATATGTCCCCGTATGCCTTGAACAGCCTACGTGCACGCTTGGCTGTGTGAAGACCGAACAACAACAGGAGGCCCTTCGCATGCTTACTTGGGTTGGGCCGTTGGGCGTTTCTCGAAAATAGTAATGCCCCAACGGCACTTTCCCATCAAAATGAGCACAAACCACTTCTCCACATTGATTTGGGTGAATACGGGCTGCCATGAAAAGGCGGAAGACCCGCGGTACGAAGATAAGCGGCATGCCACAGTGGACCAGTGGTTCGGTCGTGGGGCCTTACCATCGGTTAATGATGTGTTAAGTCGTAGGCTTCTGCTAGAACACATCACCTTTTTCCAATATGAGCCAGTAGACGCTTTGTGACGTGGCAACAAAGACTCGCACCTTCTTCTTCGTCATTCACCCATTCACAGCGTCGAGCGATCGGGGAGGCACCTCAGCCCAAAGTGGCGAAGCCGTTGCGGAGTGTTTCAAAAATCACTGTCCCAGGCAATTTGCGTATCGAAATTACAACAGAGAGAAAGTTGAAGTTTTACTTGGTTGCCCTCTGGTTCGTTAGGGCCCATGGAGCAGCAGATTCCAACAAGCGCCCCGGCTCAAGAGGGAGAGAGTAGCAACCGTGAAGCAAGGGCATTACCAGCTCAAAGGAGGGGATGCCAGGAAATGTACGAATGTTTACCTATTTCAAATGGGGATGGCAGATCTCTTGTCTTCTGCTCGTCAGAGCCACGGTTGCTTTCTCGCTGCAGCCACTTGGCGCAGGCAGGAGGCAAACATTCAAGGGATGCGCTTAATGGCCTCTCCCGTAGTGAGCGGAAAGGGGAAGAAACAGCTGAAGGGTGCGTCCTTTGTCCATGGAGCTCTTGCTGCCTTACTAGTTCGACCTTTCAGCGCTGTTCTGCGGTCCTTCACTCCCCCAAGGAGAGGCGCCAATTGCCACGACGGCACGGCCATGATTTCTTTCAGGCAGAGTTTCTGCGTGTCGAGGACTTTTCAAGAGAAATTGAGGAGCTACAGGAGCTGTTATACCACCACTCGTGCGACATTCTTCCGGCCGGTGACGTGCACGTACTACGCCATGTCCTGTGCTCTGAGAGAATTGGGCCCTTGATGCCTAACGAAATAAATCTGTTGCACCAGCTCTTGAATCACACAGGATCGAATGCTTTGTCATCAACGGAACGCGAATTGTTCATCAGGTTGCTCAGAAAACGAGCCACCGGAGATATCCATTCCGAAGAAGGGGCCACCCTGCGAGCGCTGTTGCTTCGAGCTTTGGCGGATTCCTTGTCATCAGAGCAGCAGCTGAATGCATCTGCTGCCTTGCAGAACAAGTGTGGTGCCCCTATTTCTCCCTACTTACTTGATGATCTCCATTTCACTTTAAATGGACCGGATCGGCAGCAGGGCAGGAATGCAGTGCAGGCGGTACTGGAGGAGCAGCTTGCATTGTATTGTAGGTGGCCCCAACGAATGGCCATTCATAGGCTCCTTTTCTTAGAACCGCCCTGGCCTCTCTCAGCTGAAGAACGCCACTTGCTAGAAACACTTCACCAGCAGCCTACAGTTTGGTGGTCACCAGCCCAGGAGAACAGGTTCTTTACTAGCCTTGTTGGACGTCATACAGGAGGAGATGTGGATTGTACTGATGAGGCCATCGAGCTCCTCTTACAGCTTCTTGCTGCGTCATTGAGTCCCCCACAAAGACAGCACTTAACGTTGCTTCTGGGCGCATCACATATTCAGGCCTTAAGCCAGCAACCACCAACTGTCTCCCACAAGGTGCATGGGTTAGCACCTACGCCTGGTCAGATGAGGACAATGGAACTTCTACAACGTGTGCTTGAAGGTGAAGACCTGACTCCTGTTGAAAACGGGTTTCTACAGGCCGGCATCCTGCGGGAGCTGTTGCGGCTGTTGCCACCGAAGGACGTGCAAATGCTGTACAGCCTGGTACTTTCCAGCGATGCGATTCCTGTACCTCGATCAGGTGTATCAGTTCTCAAGGAGTTACAGCGTGCTAGGCAGCTTTGGGACTCGATGGGAGGCCACACAGCGTGTATGGAACAGATAGGCAGGAGTGGGTTGCGGCAGATGTTTTTACACTATCTTGCAGTGTCGCTGAGCCCCCAACAGCTTAGAGTACTGACCCAGCTACTGGGGGATAATTCGGAGGAGCAGAAACCCGGAAAACAGCAAGAAGGATCTCGAAGATCCTCTACAAGCAGTCGTTCAGTCGCTTGCCCTTCTGAGATCCCTCTATACGGTGACTGTGTGGGGCATAGAGCATCAGAGGAGCCAAAAGCAAGCTGCAGGGGAGAGAAAGGTGTATGCCGCGGTTTTGAGGAGCCAGTACGAAGCCTTGCAGAGTTCCAAACTGGTCCGTTGACGGCGTTGACACAGGAGCAGGTAGGGATTCTTGAACGTTTGCTGGAGCTGCACCATGTTGGTTGCCATGCTTCACAGCAAAAGGACGTGTGTGAAGGGGAGCTACTTAAACCCTGTCAATCCTCAAGGACTGTCGTTAACTACCAGCAGCCGCCCGTGAGTCAGTTCTCTCTTCTTCAAATTTCCAGAACCCTGTTGGAAGAACAGGTGGAATTCATTATGAGCATAGTCTGTAGAGCTCAAAGTGCACCCCGCCAAACAAATGCAGACACCGATGCCCTCACAGGGTGTGTATGTTCTCTAACCACTGAGGACGATATGGTACGGGGAGCATGCCACTTTCACTCTGATCTCGTCACACCGAGTCAGCGACAGCTCTTCCATTGGCTACTAGACCAGAAGGTTAATGGAACTGGTGCAGCCGAGCAGGAACCACTTACTCGTTATTTGTTGTCCCCTACTATTACTCGAGACTCGCCATCAGCGCCCCACGTCATCGTACCATGCCAGCCACTTATCCAGCTGGCCAATTCACTGTCCCAAACCCAAGTTGAGATGCTTCACCTATTCTTGGCTGGGTGTTCTGAACAACCAACATATTCATATTTAGACGGCGCAGGAGGAAATACTGGAGTCACGGAGGTAGAAGGCGTGGGCACAACAGACGGACTTTCAGAGTCCCAGACTCAGCACGTTAGCGCTGATTGCTTGATTCCAGCGGAGGAGTTCTGTCACATGAAGAAAGCTGAGGATACCACGACGGCACATATTTTAGAAAAGGACTGTGTAGGGACTTCGCCCGGGGTGTCTAAAGGTCTCCGAGACGACGATTTTGTTGAGCTTATTCAAAACCAGTTAGCGGGGAGCCAGACCCATCGCAAGTTGCCGCATGGGCCTGGATCTGAGTTTTCACAATCACTACCCGCGCTAAATGTGTCTTCAACTGGCCATGTGCATGGGGCAGAGAATGGCCAGTTGTCTGTCACAGCACATATAAACGAAATACCGGGCTGCCACACGCTGCCCGAGGGAAGTGTTGGTAGCAAAGGACCGCCTGAGGGACTTCAAATAAATGGACAAATCGACTCCGGTCCCCCAGATTCCCGTTTGTGTCACGGGCAACCACCTAGACCTCAAGCTAGGTGTGTTACAAATCTACATGGGAAACGTTCTGTGACAGATTTATGGCGAGAGAGTGTTGCTCTACTGTGGTAGCTTGAGAGGTACACTTTGACACCAGACACCGTGCTCTGTCGTTTCTCGTGCTGCAGCTCTCCTGAGGACCTGGCCAACAAAAGAGGCATGTTGCAGCGGCTGATCCTTGAGGCTGCAGACCAAAGGGTACGGCTAGAGAAACACACTGGATGCATCATAGGTCAATGAGCGCCATCCCTCGTTTTTGAGACAACTTATTTGCATAGGTGAATTCTTGTTTGGAGCACTCTGTCTCAGATATTCCTGGAGGATTTGAAGATGTGGCGAAACCAATACAAGCAACGAGCCAAGCTGCGCGAAGTCTTGAATGTACGTACGTACATAGCTTGCCAGGCATTGGCATTTGGATGTTTTCCAGTTGACCCTCACTAATAATGAACGTAATTGCATGCGAAATTCGACTAGCTTGACTTTCCAGTGGGTTGCGTCGAATCGTTAAACATTTGCGGAGCAGCGTTGTTTTATGGGCGCATCTTTCGTAGCCGTACATATTGAGGATACAAGCACTCCAACAGGGATATTTGAAGCGTTGCCCCTGCTTATACCACCAGCAACAGGACAGGAGGGAAGAGGAAGAAAGACAAGCAAATCTGAGACTTTTAGACTCTTTAGAGAGCTCTATCTGGGGACCAGGTAAGCACGAACGCAATTAGAGCTGTATCTTTGGTGTGTCGTAGGAGTCACCGTTTGTCTGTAAAAGCAGCGAACCAACACCGAGCAAAGACCTCTTTCCAGGTGGTGTACCTTGTTATTTTCTTGGTGCAAATTGCAGGAGCTGTATTAAACGAGCGGAAATTTGTGCGTTGTAAACTTGTAACTGCTTATGGCTTGCGCAGTAGATCAGACACCTACACAGCTAGGCAGTCTTTCATTTCAGGGACCTGTGTATTCCAGCGAAGACCTCGTGTTCGGAAGTGGGGAATTCGGAACTGTGATGAATGGAGATAGTACGTCTTTGGGGGCTCAGCCGCTTGCAGCGGCTTTCCGACAAACTGCAAGCACACCGCTTGGAAGGACTTTGTCGAAAGACAGATATTCTTCTACCCGGCAACAATCGCTAGCCAGTTCCAATGAATCCTTCAGACTGGAGCAGGCCTCCATGTTCACTGCAGTTTCTGGAGACCGTTCCTCCTCCGCTTCGCCCGTAATCAAGGCCCCGCCGTCTTGCATTTCCCTGGGTTCAGCACCGCTCCTAGGCAGCAGCGAAAGTCAGACTCCAACAAGTTCGCCGGCACGTCTGCGCAGTCCTATGGGTTCACGAGCAGAGCGTCACCAAGGGGGTAGCAATCGTGATGAAAGTGCATCACGAGAAGAAGTAGAGGTTTCTATGGAAGAACGAAGGAAGCGCATGCAGCAGCAGGCGCTGGAAAAAGCCCAAAGGGTTAAAGAAGATGCACGAGTGGCGTTCTTGGTCCTCTGCATGAAACAATTGCAACCTGGAAATCCAGCTTTTGGAATTGAACTGGTCGACAGGATAAATTTGTCCCATCTTAACGCTAAGACATTGCCCAAGGGAAAGGGATGGAAGACTCAAGGCTTGTTGCGAATGATAGAGGGCATTATCATGCTGGTTTGCAAGCTGCCCAGGGGAGCCGATGGTAAGTTTGCTCTGACCATCAGGAAAAGCCCAAGCGTATCGTTATTTGTTGTCCCTGAGCGATTGCACAGAATCTGCAGATACCACATGCAGGTGTGTTGCACTTTATGGTCGTTTGCCCGCAGTATGGTACCTTAGGCACGCTTTCCGATGACAGTTTGCTCTTCAGTCACATATTAAAGACGATAACTGTCCTGTGGTGGTTGTCTGACTGCAGTCGCATCAGTCCTCCAGCCACTTCTGGTTTTGGCGAGCCAAACGCGCGCAGAGGATATCGATCTCGCAATACATGCGGAGTTTGAGGGTATTCGCCGTGCGCTATTGGGCATTCCCGTAGGCGCCTCAGCAGAAGCTGAAAAGGGAGCAGTAGGGACGGACAAACTGTAGGTTCGCAGAGAGAAAAGAACGCCTCAAATGGCGTTTCTGCGGGATGTGAAATTGTTGGAGTCGAGGGAGAGGATACGATATTCCCCCGGCACAAAAGGCGACCGCCCATGCAGGAAGAGCGACAGAATAAGTTTCCCGCCATAATTTCAAAGAAAATAGATTCAAGACAAAGGTGGGTTTCAGTTGATTGAAGGTCGTTGGATCTGCGTTTGCCTATGAATATGGACGGGCAGCCACAAGACATAGGTTAGCAAATGTGACCCTGAGTTAGGCACATTTGAGTCGTCATTTAGCGCCACGCGTTTGTTTGTCAGCTTTCTTTTTGGATCGATAAGCTTAAACGACGACACAGCTGCCCACGAAATTGCAAAGCTGAACAAGGGAGGAGTTAATTTTTTGCATTTTCAGCAGCAGGATGGGTAGGGTAGCCCAGAGAACCGATGGCTCAGCAGAAACGAGCCTCCTACCTTTTAAAGCAGTCGAACGGTTTTGTAGAATTACAGTTCACAGTTTAATTTACAAACAACAAGACGAGGGCAGCAGAAAACCGCCCGGACAGAGAGTCTTCGGCAGCTGAAGGGAGCAGGTCACTTACCCTAGGGGAACAGTTGCAAAATGATCCCATCGCTGTGGGTGGGAGGATTCCGTAATACGCAACAGCGTGGATGTTAGGGGCTCTAGTATTTCGAGATCTGGTCACAGTGGGGTTGAGGGGTTGAGGTGACGCCTAGTTCGTGATGTTTTTGCACTTGCTGCGGCATGGACCAAAATAACACTTCCTTTGTTCTCATCTGTTCTCCGGCAGGGACTTTGTAGGGGAGATGCGCTGAAACGCTACATTCTTTTTGGAGAGATGGGTGTGAATGTGTCACCATTGAGGAGAGTGCGATATAGGAAGGAACATGGACGACTGCGGTGCAGAGGCACCAGCAGGGCAACTCCATCTAACAATGTGAATACAACCGGACCTGTGGATAGGCCACAGGGATAGAGGGTGTGTTACTGCAGCAGATTGGCTGGCAGTCCGGGGATGCCGGTGCGGATGCGGCGATAACTAGGGGGAGCTGCTTCAATTCTTGTCACGATACTGGTAACCATATGGGACAGCAAGGACTGGGGCTTCCCATACACACTTTGCTCACAGGCGGGGTGGTCGGTTCATCCTTCAAAGTGTTATGAGCAGTGGCATGCGGTCAGGTTCCCGTCCTTCCATAGAGGTTCGCACAGCGCATCTGTAGCTGGAGTGACGTCAAAACTTGTCTTAATCCACAGGTTGGGCATTTTCTTTTCATGAGAGCGCCGAAGGTACTACAGACATGCGCTTCCTCTACAAGAGTGTCGTGAGGGGAGCGGTGAACTGCCAGACAAGCGCAGACTCCGTGGTACGCAACCTGAAGATGCATACATTGAACCACTGTTCATTTAAAGAAGTTCGTAACTTTAATTTTGGAAGCACCGCGGAAGGATGTGCGAAACTTCGAACTGGATTTCCGCATCGTGGCTGCGTGGACACCTTGGGCACTCTCAACGAGCGGTCAAGCGGAGATGGTCTACTGCTAGAGGGAAGCTTGCGCTGGTAAAAAGAGCGAGCATCACGAAGAAACGCAGGGTTTTCGGGAAGAAGAGAAAATACCACGTTATCTGCGGCAGTCCATTTGGGGTAGTAGAGGCTGCGGTGGGAAGCTGGATCAGGTGCGGCGTCAGCATCTGTCGGTGCATGGTTTACTACTTAACTATGGTCCGAGGGAAGGGATGCCTATTTCTATATTGCATAATTAGCATTATCTATGTGCTTCCGACGACTTGGTGGGTCCTTTTTGTTCCTCCAATGCTGCGGATTCCACTAGCCCCCGAGGAGTTGAGGTAGATGTGGCATGCGTCTGTTCACTGGATTTCTTTGTAGGCATGCGGTGACCCGAGTAATTTGCTTGTATTTGAGTAACTGGCGAACGATAACGCCCCACTGTAGGCTGACGGGACTTCACCCTTGATGGTGTTGTTGGCCGGCCGCAGGCAGCCGACTGGGCAGCTTTTTGATGGTACGCAGCTGAATCGGCTGTTAGGAATAGGGTTGTCCCCAGATGAAGACTACACTGAACAGTCCAGTGCCCATGGCAGCAGGACCTCTGCCGCCGCGGGTAAGCGGGAAATTCGCGGTTGCGACGAGTGCTGCTCTGTGATATATTCCCCACGACCGTCAAGTTCCCCGGAGGGTTTCATCATGGAGCGTACAGTGCAAGGCCTTGGCAACACGGAACCTCCTTGTGGAGGCAACCAGATGGCTCGTCAACTCCCAAATGCCGACGAATGCAATAGCCCCCTGCCGAGCTACCACGACGGCGTTGAATGCTGTTTTCTAGGTTTCTTTGGCCAGCCGATGTGGTATTTTGACTCTACATCCGACGGAAATATATATATGCAGCCTGAAGGAGCCGACAGCACTAGAAAACACCGCAGTATATTAGCCTCAACTGGAGCTCTGCTCTCAAGGACACCGTTGCCTGCTGCCCTATTTGGCCACGTGGCAATGTTCCTCGGTGCTGAGGATGTAGTAGCACTTGCGTCTGTTTGTAAAAGCCTTCGGTGGATTGCCTTCCACAGGGATACGTGGAAGGCGCTCTGCTTCTCAGCAGGGGTTGCTTCGTACACCTCTCATGCTCCGATGCGACGCCTTCAGTCGCTCGCGATGGTCGGTGGAAAAAAGCCCAGATGTGCAAAACCTTCGTATGTAGCTCACCTCGTTCAAGACGCTCAATTAGGCCAAAATGCGCGGAGAAGATGGAGCACTAGCGACGGGTTGTTCCGTTCTGACAGCCGCATCGACACTTCTCCACATATTCGCACGGAGCTTCTACAGGAAAGTACGCCTTCCGAGTCATCTTCATGCTCTTCGGGTTTTCGCCGGAGGTGTGGAGGAGGTTCTTCTGATGCTGCCCTGGCTTGTGAAGAGGATATACTATGTAGCGGAGGCCATTCAGAATTGGGAATTTACACATCGACTACGGCATATCCGCCATTGGGAGCTGGCACACACTGCCGAGGACTGCAGGCTCTCCCTGAATGCACCCGTAAGCCAAGGCATGATGCGCATATTTGGTGACGGCTACCGTAGTTTAGAAAGGGTGGTCATTAGTTGCTAAAGCTATGCTTGCCGTTGTTTCTGTGTGATTTTGCAGTGCACGAGTTGGTGGACTGGCGTTTCCTGTTCCTGCTGCACCGGGTTAGCCCTGGTCCCAGGATACATGTCCACATCAGGGAGTTGGAGCTACAGTTTCCCATGTATCCTGTCGTTCCAGACATAACGAAAGGCCGCCGCAGCTCTACGACGGGAGGCACGCCTACGTGTGACGGACAGGAGTGCGGCGGCGGGGAACAGGATAAACAGCGCCAGTTCAAGTACCATGCTCGTAAAAGGTGGCTTAGACCTGAGGAGTTCGTTGCAACCTTTATTCGAAGAGCACTCAACATTTCCCAGCCCATGAGGCTACGGCATTTGAGACAGGGGCATCGCCCGGGTTTGTGTGTGGCAGAGATTCTGCGGGAACAACACTACTTGCTTGAATGGCAGGTTCCCCTGGGTTGTCTACTGGAACCCTCCGCCGATTTTTCTTTTGTCAGTGAGGCCCAGATTGATTCCGCTTCAGCGTGGCCACTTCCGCCGTATGGATCGCTCGGGCGTGAGTCTCTGACTGAGCTAGGCAGCAGTTGGAGGCGCCACGAGAGGATGGCGACTCACAATGTTGTGGAGGAAAACCGCCCCCGGCGCTCACGACATGCGCCGGAAGTGGATGCAGTGTACGGTGACCGGATAATGTTCGACGTACTTGACCGTGGGAGTGTTTTTGCAAGCCTTCTGTACCCTCTATCTTTTGGAACGACTGCGGCTGCCATTTTTGTCGGCGCTGTTCTCGTTGCGGTTGCAGCGTCGAGTGCAACGGCAGCCATCACTACTGCGGCCGCTGCTACGGCTACACTGGCGGCCCGACGCTCCAGGATTTTTAGAGTGGATTTGCACGTGCTTGAGAGGGATGAACACGAAGACGACCAAGAGGAGGTGGCAGAGTGCGATGCTTCACAGTCTCGTTTGGCCTCGGCCTTCACAGGGTCGCTTGGGGTGGCAGCAGGACCGCTGGCCTCTAGTGGGTGCGGCAGCCACGCGCCGGTGGGAAGTGAGGCGGCACTATCTGGATCAGGTTCGCCACACAGTTGTGGCCCCGCCTCCACTGGGAGTGGGGTGACTGCTAATGCCCTCTCGGGAGCGTCTGCTATTGGTAATTTGCTTCCAGGGTTGCCGCGTCTCCGGCAGCTGTTTCAAGATCAGCTTGCACGACTTCTCCGGTGGCCAGCATTTGCCAGCGCTGCTCTGACAGAAACTTCTCGAGCACTTGTCTGCACCCTTTTGAGCAGCGTTTCAAGAGATGCAGTAACCGCGGCGTCAGCTGTTGTTGCAGCCACCTGCGCAGGGTTTACAACAGTTATCCGTCCCCCTGGAGCCCCTGGAGCAGGGGGATGCATACCTGACGCCAATATCCAAACGCGGGGAAGTTCCACGTATATTTGCACAACACAGAAACAGCGATTGCCACAAGGTGGTGTTCTGCTGGCTCCATCCGCTGGTTCGCCACCAGATGCGGAGGTCGAAGGGTTTGTGAAGTCTGTGGGAAAGCGCGTGGATTCATCTAGCCCTCCAAAAAGCATGCGGCTGTTCAAACAGCTTCCATCTCGTAACAGAGGAAACCCAGAGCAACTCCAGGGAAAAGAAGGGTTTCAAGAGATGAGGCGACGAGGTTTAGCCGGGGACTCGGCGTTTCTGCGCTCACCACCCGCGGCGCCCGTGAACCCTCGCAGGTCCCAGTCATTTTTGTCGGTGTGCATTGGGCATTTCGAGGCTTTACACCGCCGAAGCTGCTGTTCGATGCCGGCGCGTTTCCGTCGAACTTCTGAGCCATGTGACGGTTTTGGCGAGTCGGGCGGTAGCGGTTTAATCGCCCATAGAATGCGAACACTGAGCACGGGGCCGGCGGCTTTGCAGCACCCGCAGCGCCAAGTGTACAGACCGTTGTGGCGTAGGTCAAGATCAGCAAGTGAAAGCAACTGGGAAACGGAACGCGAGGAGACGCTGTCGAGTGATCAAGAGCACTCTCGAGGTCTGGAAATGGACGGATCAGATGTTACATGGACACCAACACGAGAATTCTCGGAACAGAATTTCGGGTCGCCCTCATCAGGCTGGCGCTTACATAGTCCACCTCTGCAGCCTGACCACGGCTTGTTGCTATTTGTGCGCACTTTCTTGCCGCCAGAAACTTCTGTCTTTCGGCCACGTGGTAATATGAAAGGTTACAGCCCAGGGATCTCTGAATGGGATGCTGCAGCAGCAACGTCATTCACGGGTCTTGCAGAGGATGTGCCGCTGTTGTTACCAGCGGATGCAACAGTAACAGACTTGTTGCGGTTGCTGTTCCTTACTCTGGTGGAGAGGAAGTACATGCTGCCACTCATCTCTGCCACGCCGGTGGCGGAGCCACCACTGAATAGTAGTCACTTCGAAGGGCTAACCGACCGTCCTCACGGGCGCCGCCGAAAAGACAGAAGGGGCCAAACGACGCATTCATCACGAGTGGCGCTGCTGCGCTTTTGGCTTGCGTCGACTCATTCGAACAGAGAACAGCACGTGGAACAGCCGTTGCCCTCCGCCAAGTTGACCGCTGACCTGCGCCTCATGTCTTGTGAACGCCTTACCCTTGCGGTTGTGCCCTTTTCACTAGCTAGGCTTGGCACACCAGCGTGCGCAAGTTGCCTAACGCTGACCGTTTCTCCACGAGGTCCGCCGTTGCAGAAATCTGGGCGCCTTCCGGGGCATTCAACAGGGGTCCAGCGGAATAATGGAATAACTTTACCACCGTGCACTGCGCAGCAGTATCCTGAAGATCAGAGGTCGCCAAGTGAAGCAAATCCCTGGTTACTGTCGCCTTTGTGTGCGTGGACACAAGGTAACACACTATCGGTGGAAACGGGCACTCCTTCAGAAGGAGAGCCCACACTAGTTTTGCGCCGCGAAGCTGCTCTGGAGCCCGTGTGCCGGACAGCTGAATCAACCGGTGTTTGCTCCCAGAGCGAGCCATGCCTGCTTTCTGAGACGGTATTTAAAGGAAATCGTTCGCACTCTTGTTCCGCCGACACCGAGCAACAGGGAGCCAATTTGCTGGGCAACGCCGTTCCTGTTAATCCTTCACCTGATACTTCAACGGCTACCGAGCCTATCAGCGTCTCGAAGCGCGCACAGAGGATAGCCTTACGGGAGGCTCAGCATAACCAACGTGCCAACATTGTGCACTACAGCGCGGGTGTAACAGCATCTACAGGTACTCCCGCACAGCGGTATGCAGGCATAATGCTGGAAGAGGAAGACGCGAGGTCATGCAAACCGTGGATTCTACAGTCTTCAGTAAATGCGAGGCAATTTGAGTACCATCCGGCAAAAAGCAACGTGCTGCTCACAGGCAACAATGATGGAAGGGTGAGCACCCGAGTTGCGCCGCCCCTTTTTCGAGTTAGAAGCAGGGTGAAGGACGGAATAACAGAGTGTAGCTGCACGAATCTGTCTCACAGTAACGGAGAGTCGTACACACGTGTGAACGAGTGAACGTGCTTTAGCTGTACCTTTTTGACGTGCTTACTCATTTAGCTGCACTACCTAATAAATGCATGCTGTGTGCAACCTGGTTGGTTGCGAAGATGCGCGTTCTTTGGTGCATGTGCATATGTGGGAACAGGTGCGTGTTCTTGACTGGAAGCGAGATGTTATCCTAGGGACGGAACTTGTCGATAGTCACCCAATTTTGGCTCTTTCCTGGCTGAAGCACCACCCTGAGTTGTTCGTTTGCGCTGCTGGCGTTTCTGGCATCCCTTACGTTGTCCGTTGGAGGGAACAGGACGACCTGTTTGCAACCGAGCTCAAAGGAGACCGAGGAAGGATGTCAAAGGCTTCAGCCTACCACTCGCAACTACCTTTGCCTCCGAACATGCACTCCAGACAACCTACACAACAGCAACTGCACGTGGAAGCTGGTGATTACGAGACAAGCCACGACGATCAGTATTCCGGCGATCGTGATGAATGCCTCGACGGCTCAACGGTGACCGCTGCATTAACGTGGTTTAGGCGCTGCGGGAGAGGAGAACGCCTAAGCCGGGAAGGCACTGCATCTCTTCGCATTGTGCATCAGTACTGTGCTTTTGAAGATCTGAGCTCTGTTTCTGTCAACAGCACAGATGACTACCTTCTTGTCTCCGGGAGAAGCGCAGATCTCACCATTCATGACGTGGCAACGGGTGCGAGGCTGGGAACACTAAGTGGTCTCCACTCAGACAGCATTAACATCGTTCGATTCGCACATAGCTCCCCCCACCTTTTTGTCACGGCGTCTTTTGATCAAACCTGCAGACTCTGGGACCTTCGCCAGAGAATCAATGGCCATCAACCACTGCTGACTGTTGATACTGGCAGTCTTAGCGTCATGTGCTGCTTCGACGATTCGGATGAATGGCTGCTGTGCAGCGGAGTAGATGCAGCGTTGCGTCAGGTCTGCTTGAGGTCTTCTACTGTATTCCCAGAGACATTTGCAATCCCTCCTGTAAATGCCGAAACCAACTTCCGCCGTGCAGTCTATCTACAGGGAGGAAGGGAATTCATCACAGCTGGTACTGAGGAGGGCTTCTTCCGAGTGTTCAGCCGTCTTGGCCGTGACTTGGGTTTAGTCAGTCTTGAAGGGTTGCTCTGGCCGTTCATTCGGGTGCGTTCATCCCAGGGTCTAGCGACTCTGGCCGACGTGCAAGCAGAGCTTCTGAATTTGCGCATCTACTTACGCTCCCACATGGCGCTAGGGCTCAGTGCCATGAGCGACGCTGCTTTGGCCACAGCTGCTGGCGTGAGCCGGAGCTCAGTCGCTACAGTCTTACGGACTGCTTTACGACACCTTAGTGGAGGACCCACTGGGCTGCTTGACAGGGAACTGCTTGACAGATTGCGGCAGGCCGTGCACGGTCCGGGGTCGCCTTGGTTCTGTATTGGGCAACAGGGGTTGAACAGTGAATCAACCTTGTTTCAGGACTCAGCCGCTCGCAGCACAGAAAACAGCGTCGTTGAAGAATACGTGCAGTCACTCCGCGCACATCCGCAGGAACGGAGGCTTGTTGGTGCATTGCTGGCGACTAAGGATCAGGTGGAGACGGCGAATGGAGAAGCGTCTTATGTGGCGATGGCACGGCTACCAGCAACCATGCTGGGGTAGTCTTTTAGAGGAGGACCAAGGAAGGGAATGTACTAACCGGGCGACGAGGCGTGATCCCAGACTCTGCTGAGTTGCTTCGAATGCGTTTTTATTGAAGGATATTTTGGAGCCTGCTGATACTGTTAGATGAAGAGAACAAAACTGGTTACGAACAGTCCGTGCATCGTGCCGCAGGGGCGGCCACCGTACGAAGCACTGCGCCTCATGCCAGTCACCGACAAGTTCAATAGTCTCTTTGGCAGCCTCAAGGCAGCTTGTACGTCGTGGGTTAGGCTACCTTTAATTCGTGTTTCTTCATGCTCGGTATCTGCATGATGTACACGCTGCCAGTTGCGAAGACTCATACACATCTCCACCACTATCGTTAAGCTTTGCCCTTGGCTAATATTATAGTAGACAAGCTCAGGTGCTATCGAACTTGTGCTTTAAATACGACCGCAAGTAAATGGCCACTGATTGTCTGCGACGGAAATACTAGTGCACCACATACTGGACTACTGGGTAAGCTTCCATTTGGAGCTGTGCACCAGTTAATGCATAGAGTGAGCATAGCGCCAACACGGGGACTTGCATAGAACTGTAGCGGGGATCTTGTGGCTATTCAAAAAGCAGGTAAGGCTGCTTCCGGGATTACGGCAGCGAAACGCAAACTTGGGGCTGCCGAAAATACACTAGTGCTCTCAAGACCAGACGACGCAGCGAAAGGTGGAAAACTGTTTTCCACACCAAAGTACAACCCAGCAAACGTTACACACTTCATTGGGGTTTCCCAATAAAGTTTGGCAGTGCAAAAGTTTGGTAGTCTATCTAATTCAGATGTGCATTATTTTGAGAAAACTAGGACGTGAGCTGGGCTGGAAGAACACTCCCAGTTGGCCGGTTCGCCATTGACTGTACCGGTGGCGAGAGGTGGTCCCTTCTGCAACCCCAGCCCTACTAACTTCGACGTACCCTCAACCACAACGGTTGGTAACCTGAAAGATCCTGGCCTGAATTCACAAATGCGCCCAGTTTACATACACTATGGTGACCCACCGGCGACCGTGGCGGCAGTGGAGGCAACAATATCTTTACAATAATGCAGGAAAATGGAGGGTACGGGCTCACCTAGAGGCAACCAGGGTCCAATAAAGAGACCTTGTGCTAAGTGGAAGGATGACGACCTGCGCCATAATTTGCCCACTGATCATAAATGGACAGTCCGACGGAATCGCCAATGAACTGAGGTCAGATGACTTCTCCACGCCCATGCGTTCTCCACGATTGTACGACAGACGTACGACCAGTTCCTGTGCAGCTCAGCCCACAAAAGTACTTACAAATTTGTTCTACGCTGTGTTATCTTTGGACTTTAAGGGAATTCAAAACAATTTTTCTGGTTAAAGCAACTGAAACTCACCATCGCCTCCCGGGTCAGGTTTTCAAGGGCAGCCGAAAGTCCGAACGGTGCACCGACTGCAGAGGTCACTGGATGAGCGAGGCTAATCCGCAGGCGCTGCCCCCACAACGGCTTTTCCACTGCTGGAAGGCGTGCCTGTTAGCAGCACAAATAATCAAGCAGTGCCGGACTAAATGCCAGTACTGAACATCCTGTTGAATGGAGAGCAACACGAGCTGCGCAGAGAAGTCAAAATTTCAGCCAAATGAGCAGATTTTAGGTGTGCTGGGATGGACGGTCCAAGACCTACAATCGTCAGATTCTCCCTTATGCCAAAGTCAGCACAACAAAATGGAAACGGCAGATATTCAGCAGTTCGGGTGTACTTCAAAAGCACCTGAACGTAGCACAACTATGCGGAGGGAGGCGCATAGATCTCCTTGCTTTCACAACACAGATTCCTCCTATGAAGAGCAAAACGCATCAACGGGTGGCATTACGCACTGCTGCTTGTTCTGATGAACTAAAGGACCTCGAAATCCCTGACCAAGACTCTCCCGGCAGCAAAGTACACGGCAGCTCTGGAGTAATCAACGACAGTTGATGCTCCACGGGTGTCGCTGCAAAACAGACAACACAGCGGGGCTTATGCTGCATTGCAACACTGCCAAGATAGCGCAAACAAAAACATTGGTGGAGCGGTCTGAATTTAATCAGTCTACGCTGACTACCAAGCGGAGCACGAAGTAGGATGTTGAAAATGCGACCATACCTGCGGCATCAGTAGGGAGGCTCTGACCTTCAACAGCACAAAACTTAAGGTCTGTTAATTGAAGAGCGATGCCAGAAACATTCGTGACGTTTACCCGGCGAGCTTCACATGGCCCGCAAGTGCCTGTTGCAGGGAGGGATACTAAGCGGGAGGATAAGTTCAAACAGCGTTGGCAGTTCACGGCACAGGTGGTTGTCAACCTTTGGATAATGTCATCAAGGTTCACATCAACAGTGACGCGAATATCAAAACAGCCTGAGCGGCGCAAACGGATGAACATGGGTATGCAGATAATTTTGGTTTCCTCGGACGCAGTAAGTTTGTCATCACCATCAGCGTCATGCCCTTCCTCTCCTACAAGCGCTCTCCACTCGGCAACAGAAAGCTTGCGCCGATATTCCCGGGGATCGAATACCCACGGAGAAGCTACTCCTTCCTGCCCACCGCTCAACTCCCTTTCTTCTGCATACAAGCAACCACAACAACTCTGCAAAACCTCCGTGAGGCGGCATGCAGCAAGAAATGTAGAGGACTTCCTGATGCCGATTGAATTGGTGCTACCGTCAGGTGCTAGCCTCGTTCTGCTAGCTGCAAATTCCTGTACCGCCTGCAGTGTCCACGAAGTTAAGTATATAAAAGCGGGCACCGTACTTGTACTTCCTGGCCAAGAGCTACCTCTTCCCACTGTAAACGGCAAGCAAGGGGATCCATTGGTGGGGACCCGCAAGAGTCTAGGGAAGGTGGGTAAGCCTATGCTTCCGTTCGTATGCGTCTCCTCGTTCGTATGCCTCTCCTCCTTGGCATTTGCAGATCGGCATTCACCATCATCAACTTCTCTCTCTTCGCTCATTTCCACAAGATACGACTCAAATTCGTCCTCCAGAAGTACAGAAGTGTCAAGTGCACGGTCATTCTCGCTCCCAGATTCTTGTGCCGTACACTGCAAACCAATACTAAATTTGCACTCCTCCCAGTCCTGCTTAATAATCAGCCTCACTGTGTATGGTGCAAGCTCGCCAACGCATATACACTTTGAAGGGTAGTTTTCAATCGTTTGGAGCTTGAAGGACTCCTGACCACCGGACACAGACTTCACACGAGATGACTGAGTTGGCCACATCGTAGGCTTAAATTGTTGCTCTAAGGTCCCGCAGAACCGGTGTCGAAATACCTGCGCAGTCCTGAATTTTCAAGTTCTTAATCAGCAGCACACATTTGAATAACGTACTTTTGATAAACACACAGAAGGCAAAAACGGCTCGGCTAGTCCGGGGCGCTCAGCATCACAAATTGGGGAAGGCGGAATGCACAGCTTGTGAAAACGAATAGCCCGTCGAATAGCAGACGGCCAACAACCGTCAGGAACTGCCCCGGAATCTGAGAAGCTGAACGCAGCAACTGGTTTTCCAGGCAAACGGGACACCTCCCACTTCAAAGAACATAATGTAGCTAGCTGGAAACAAACCGAGGGACACAGAGCCCAGGAAAGGTGCAAGCGGCGCACCGTTGACCCACTGACGTCTCTCAGTTCCTGGGGGGCCAGATACAAGTCGCAGTAGCAGAGCCCTTCATGAGGTAGCGTGACAGATTCACACTCCATTGGGCAGGTAACATCTTTTTTCTCTTCGGCAGCAATCTGCTGGACATCTTTCGAGGCAACCAAGAGACACTTTGCCTTCTTCCCCGTGCTTGTTATGAGCTCGGCGGAGGTAAAGGCAGAGATATCGAACCCCAACCGGTGCTGAAAGCAGACTCTGCCAATCTTCACGCCTTCCCACACAGGGGCCGGTTCAGAGCCTGCATGAGGCAAGGAAACCCTTTGCTTCACAAACAAGCCACTGTCTGAAAACATCTGCTCACGATGCAACTCAGACAGGAAGTCTGTCCATACCACGACAGCGTGCAAATCCAAATGGAATACCCATTGGCTGGCGCCACATGATTGTTTAAAGGCTCTCACCAAAGGCAAGAGCATCTCTACATATCGGTACATCTGCTTCCGCTCTGAGGCGTCACGATCCTCGATATCCTCCCGTAGCGCAAGAATGTTCAGAATCTCGAATGAGGCCTTCAGCGCTATTTGGCAATTCTCAGCGTTTGCCTGAAACCCTCCAGCAGTTGCCGCCGCAGATGTTGCAAGAGAGCCAGCTGAACTAGTTGCGGCTGAAGGTTGTTGCACATTCCCAGAACCTGGTAGGGGCTGGCCTGAATCTCCAACCGCCGAGCTGAACCGCGCGTCAACACGAGCAATCTTGTACAAAAATTCAGGCGGAGGTATTGACAACAGGTGAGAAGTGCACAGAATGAGCCTCGCCAACACGTAGCGATACAAAGGCCACCACCTGCAGCACAAAACAAAATGTGCTTGGCGGGAGAATAGAGCAACACAGAAGAATTTCTCGCTTAGTCCTTGCTCATTTCGAATCCCTGCGGAGAGGACAGTTGTTGGATGGGTGATGCAAACGGTGACTAGCTCACCCTGTGCAATTCCCAGTCCCAGAAAGCCGCAGGCGACTGCCAGCAGGTAGAAGCGGCTCGTCAGCGACAGTTCGGCTCAAATTCTCGGATTGCCGTACAGATGCAGTGTCTTGAGGAGCTGAGGAAAGCTCAGAGTTTCCAGTGCTAATATCTGTCGTCTCTGGCAAGGTAACAACCTCCTCATTCCTAAGCTTTTCCTGGCCCTGGAGATCAGCGGCCTGGTGTGATGTCACAGGGCTTGCAGTGTGGCACAGTGCTGGCACTACTTCAAGCTGCCACGACTTTTGGTGACCGGATTTGTACGATGCGAAAGCCGTGGCCAACGTGAAGTATAGCTGGCGCGCCGTCACCATTCGATGGCCGTCAAACATGGCGTCGGCGAGCTCGCATGCCAAAATCGGGCAATTTCGGTAGCCTCCAACAAGCTGCGTAACACATGGTACCCTGTGCTCAACTCTTAGTTCAAAGTGAACAAAAAGATGTTTTTCGCCGATAGCATTTGCGCGTGCAGCATTTTGCACTGTAGGGCAACCAACAAAACCAACCTTATATGCAATATGGGCTTTGGAGAGCAAGTGTGTCGCATGAGTAAGCACTTGCGCCTCGTTGAAGAAAAATATAAAGCGAAGGAATACTTCTTCTTGTGCAGCAGCAGAAGCCGCGTCAGGATCTTGCGAGTTTGCTGTTGCGAAGGCTCCCGTTCCATGCTGCCGAAATACCGCATATTCACACACTTCGAAACATTTCGAGAAATTTATATCTTGCAGGTGCATACAATCTATTGCCAGATGCGTCTAGCAAGAGTTGTTATGCAGTGCTACGCCCACCCACCTGGAGGGTATCCGGCTGCCCAAGCCACTCAGATGGCACCCCAAGCCCACCTTTCATGGAGGGTGGGGGATGGATTTCCTTTGCCGTTCTTATCCAAGCTCTGACGTGCTGAAGGTACCTGGCTGCCGCTTGATAGTGGAAACCGGCTAGTTGCCACACGTCATGGGTATCGAGCGACGATGGGTTCGTGTGCATGGCATCTTCGCACAACTGAGCAAGCAACTGATGCAACTGGGCTAGCCAAAGTGGGAGTAAATAGCCCTGCAGCGGGGACTCTGGAATATTTTCTCGTAGAACCGCGCGGTGCTCGCGGGCGTGGTGTGCTGCCTTGGATGGCTCTTTTGCTTTGAAGTACATCGGGTACATGCGTACGCTGATCAAATTGCACACCGTCATCCGTTCCAGTGCAGGAGCCATTTGCGAGTAACTGGTGAGAAACTGCCAAGCAGTTATATAACTCTTCATAGCGGCATGTGGTTGCTGCGCGAACTCCAACATGTATCCAGCCTTTATTAGGCACCTGGTCTGTAAACACCAACAGTGTACATCAAAGACGGTGACTGTCCTCAGCAGCTACAGTAATGGAGTTATAAAAATAGAAGCACGACTAAGTTGAAGATGAATGCGCTAAATTAGCAAAGTAGGGATCTAACACATCTGGCGGAGACAAACCTGATATACATGGAAAGCGCTGGTTTGTGAACGATCCCCCTTAAAAGTCACTTGTGTCTGTTTTCTGTATCGCCGAGCTTCACTTTCGTAATATTCTACGCTGCAGTCGAAGGAAACCTGGAACACACACAGTATGGACAAAAACGCTACGGGATTTTAACTTCCACGAGTATCTGGAGGGTAGGGCACACCAACCCACGGATTAATTTGAGTAACGAAATCTGGGCAAGTGTAAAAACAGAAGTTGTACTTCAGCACCTGCTCCAGCTTCTCCAGCTTTGCCTTCAAGTCATCCACGCCGCATGTGATGAAGATTGCAGCGATGTCTGCCGGATTGAGTTTCTTCAAAAAACCAACGGCGGACTGCGGATCTTCCATCCCAGTTGGTAGAATGACGAACACTATCTGCCGAAGAAAACGCCAATACATATGGCTAAAAATTTGAGTATCACACATAGAAGGTAGAGCTATCGGCACCTCACGGCACTAGTTTGACCAGTTTGAGACAGAGATGTGCAGTAAATAGGCGAAACTCACGATTTTTGGGACAACAATGCGCCTCTGGAGTCTTTCCCTAAAGAATTCAATCGTAGCCATCGCTTCCGCCTCGGCAGCTGCAACTGTGCTCCCTCGGGAGCCGGTTCGGGCGTCGTGGCAACTGCCAGGTGTCCTAGATCCCGTCGTTACGGGGACTGACGAGGGTGACTCTGAGCCCGACGCTATCGATAGAGCTGGTCTCATATTGTCATCATGAGTAGCTACCCGAGAGGAAGCCAAGCGTGCTGGATTTGTAGGATCATCCGACTGACTTCCTGCACGCTGCGCACAGCCATCCCGACTACAGCACGGCTTGGATGAAGAACAAGGGGAATGACTGGTAACTTCCGGGGGAGCAGGCATAGAAGCAGCGCAGCAGCAACAACAGGAATCTTTAGTCTCATAAACCTTTCTCCAGTCAAACGATATAATGAGGCAAGAAGGCCTCTCCGTACGCATCCGCTGCATCCATGCATGCTTGAGAAATCCCTGCAAATGCCGTTACGCACTCAGTGAACAGCCATAGATATCCAGGAGTACAAGAATATTTGAATACGTGCTCACTTTATCACCTTCAATGTCGGTGAATCAGCTTACTTTGTTCAGTAGTTGGCCAACTGATATTATCTTCTTACGTTGGGAGACTTTCTCCCGCTTTGCGCCTGTGCCTGGAGCCTCCGATGGGAATAAAACTCTAGCAGAGACGCATTTTCCACTGTTCATTGAACTTCCTTCTGACAGATCGCCCTCTGGCTGAGAGCGTTGGTCCCGTCTTGGGTGTGAACAGGTAGGGTCTATCGGTGGTGTCGAGCCAGACACCGAAATAGACGGTTCTGCAGAACCGGACTTCGTAGAGTCATCACACACCCCATCTTGCTGTGAGTTTCGACAGGTATGCGCCTGAAAATTATACGCCCAGAAGGAAATCACAGCATTATAGACTGCCTGCAGCCAAAGCGTTACAAAGGCACTAGCATATCGCTAATGCATGGAATAATTTACCCCCATGCCTACTGCCCGTCTGTGCGCAGAAAATCGCGATAGGTGTGCACCTGACTTACCTCGTTTGCATCGCAGAATACATAGCTCAGGCGCTGCCGCCTGCTACGTGAGCTGACTCGTTCGCATTCAAATGTTTCCCACAGCAAGGCATGTAGGCCTTTTGGCGCGCACACGCATATAAGCGGTATTGGGGGAGGGCTGCATGATGGAGGGGAAAGAGGAAACATTAGGGAGGAAACACTGCTAGGTTTGTATAGCAATATACAACGATCCCCGTGCAACTGTATGAGTCCTGATAGGCCACGCGCGTCCCCTCTCACAGCTCACAAGAATAAAGCTATGCGGGACAGGACGCGGACATCCATTAACCTTGCAATAATATTGTTAAACGTCGTGATTATTTCCCAGGAGTTGGCTCTCGCTTTAGCAGTATCGCTTGTTCGATACAGGGGGGCCCGCGGGGGCCCTGCTGCAAGTGGTACCAGCCAAGCTACCGTGTTGGCTTCTAGAATGCTCTGACATTAGCCGACCAGAATACCAATAAACAGAGGAGTATTACCAGTTTCATTGTTGATGCTATGCAATATACTATATGAAAGAACTACATAGTGGAGGAGAGCATGGTTTTGTGCTGCGCCGACATGTCTTGCTCCCCCCAGCGGGAAGGTTGTATGGCTACGGACCACGGCGAGTTGGAGGGAAAAAACGGAAATGTGCACTTTTGAGTAGCATATGTTATTATTCGAATGGAAGTTGTGCAGGCTTTCGTCACCGCATTTGACGGACTTGGCGAACGCGTAGTTCGCCGCCCGCTACAGACTCGCTTGGCAAGGTTCCTACAATCTTATCAGGGGAAAGCATTTGGAATAACCTACATGCGGTTGAGTTAGAGACTGTGTGGCTGTGGAGAAGATAAGTGTTTGGGCAGATTGGGCTGGGCTGAGTCCCATCTGGCCCGTTTGATACGCAGACGAAAGCAGCCCTGTTTGCATATTTGTCTTGTGCGTTGGGAACGCTGCACAGAGAAGCCAATGACACTGACGAAGATGGAGGTTCAGTCGACTGGCCCAAATGCGACGAATACAGCTCATGCTGCCCCGGAGACGAGATTGTCGCTTGAAGCTGTCCTGCGCCGCCTCTTTTTGAGCTCCACAGCATGCAAAGTGGGTTTGTGTCTGCAGAAATGCGCCATAATGGAGTAGAAATATTCATTCATTCTTAGTGCCTAGGTCAACGTGGTGCCTTTCATATGTTTGTCCTCTGTGAGCAAATTGGCTGTAGCACTGCTTGGCGGCTCGACACTTTGTGCCACTGTGAATTTGTACACGCAGGTTCGCGAAGCTGGAAACAGATGGGCTAGATTCATTGAAGCCGTATGCCTTGTTCTCATTATGTTTCTTTGCCTATCAACGCGCCTATTCCCAACTATCCGCGGTGAAGCAACAATCTACGACTTCGACCCGTATTTCAATCATCGAACAACCAAGTACCTTGCTAACGCAGGCTTCAGTGATTTCTGGAACTGGTATGATGATGGTGAGCCTTTTGTTACTTTTTTCCTCCAGAAGGCATCAGTCCCTCGAGCAGCACAAGGAGATTGTATTCTGTGGTAGCAAGCCAATCCTTCTGATTATGAAAGCAAGCAAGTGGCTTTTGCGTGTGCGGCGCAGCAAGTTGGTATCCACTTGGGCGCCCCGTTGGACAGACGCTTTTTCCAGGGCTGATGACAACTTCCTACTGTATCTACAAGATCCTGGGCTTTTTCGGCTTGCTAGTCAACATATCTGATGTATCTGTCTATCTCCCACCAGCATTTTCGTGCTTAACAGCCCTTGTGGCCCACTGCTTCGCCAAGCATGCCAGTGGATCCAGGACTGCGGGTTTATTCGCCGCCTTATTTGTGGGGATATCCCCTGCGTACGTTAAGACGTCCCTAGTGGGGTCTTATGACAACGAATGCATCGCAATATTTGCAATGCTTTGGGGGTTCTACATGTGGACTCGGGCGATCAAAAGAGGCTCGATGCTATCAGCTCTTCTAGCTGCTATACCCTCTGCATACATGGTTACAGCTTGGGGCGGTTACGTGTTCCTGATCAATGCAATAGCTGTTCACATGGTTGCCCTCTGGATGCTTGGGTTAATGACCCCAAGACACCAGCTGGCATATTGCGTATTCTACGTTATCGTCACTGCATTGTGTGTTAATGTTCCGTTTTTGAATCTTACCCCACTTTGGAGCTCAGAGCACATGGCAAGCCACGGAGTATTCGTGCTTGTCACTGTGCTGTCAATGGTCCGCTTCACGTCGGCATTACTTCCGAAGGGTTCTGTTAGGCACCTTCAAATGTGGGCATTAGGGCTAGCTGGAACGCTGATACTGGTTGTTGTAACCATATTGGCTATTACGGTAAGGCATTTGTTGGGCATTTGTCCTTATTCTGACATTGATGATGATCTCTATGACGGTTGAACATTGCGTCTGTGCATGCTCGGAGACATACGAATGTGGTTTTGCGCCTAACAGGGCAAAACAGCTTGGTCGCCGAGGTCGTTAACCTTGCTGGACCCAACATACGCGAGCAAGCATATTCCTATTGTGGCTTCTGTATCAGAGCATCAGCCGACGACCTGGTCAACATATTTCCTCGACCTCCACATGGTAATATTCCTCGCTCCATTGGGATTGATAATATCCCTTCGACGAGGAGGGGGCCTGTTTTTTATTGGGTTGTATGGCGTCCTCGCCTGCTACTTCTCAGGTAAGAAAACCCCGGAGTTACCTACCTACCTGCCAGAGGACTGCAGTTTTGTACTCCCTCATGCTTAGTTCTCTCACGTATGCTCCTTTCCAGTATACGCTCATGATCAAAGTACAGCTGCGTCCACTGGAGCGGACGGACGAGCAGTTCATTAGTATAACTGTCCTGTGATGCGTGCAGCCGTCATGGTTAGGTTGGTACTTGTTCTCTCCCCCGCCGCATCGATGCTCGCTGGGATTGGTGCATCTGCTTTTTTAACGGGCATTATTTCCCAGTTGCCTACGGTTCGTTCCCAAGGCAGGGATACAATACGGAAGTCGGTGAGGCCATTATTCCAGGAAGGCTCATAGTGCCTCGTCAGCGGAGGTGGCGGGGGCACTGTTGATTTTCTCAATAACTGCATTTACGGCGTTTTGCAGGGGAGTACCAAGACCGCGAATTCGGGTTCCTTTAAGCTTCCCTTTGCTATTGCTGTACCTGTGTTACTGGCATTCTTTTGGCTTTGTATTATGGTAAGCATTCACACTCAAACGCTGTTTAAGTGGCTGCCGTTTCTGTATATTTGGTACTATTTACAGTGGTGCTTTTTGCTCAAATTTTGTGTTGCGGGCTGTGCTCAGTATGTCGTCCACTGCACTTGGATGTCTTCAACAATACTTTCCAACAGAAACATTTTTATGGGTCCGTCTGTTCAGTATGCCAGCTTTTATGCGGCTGCCGCAATTCTTAACTGGGCAGTGTGCTACTACACTGCCCAGTATAAGCTCGGTATATTGCTTTGTAGACTGCATAAGTTTCAAAACACATCTGCCTATTTAGAGTGAGAAATATCCTGTATTGCAATGTGTCGTGTTCTTTTCTTAAGGAGGTCCCATCGGTCGCACCAATGCGCCCAAACCTGATGATTTCCGAGAAGCCTACAACTGGCTTCGGCAAAATACCCACAAAAAGGCGCGCATTATGGCCTGGTGTGTAATGGCTAGGAAGCCCCTAAGCTTTTGCTTCCACTCTTCAGTTTTGGACTTCCTTGTGCTAGTAGTGTCTGCGCTTCTGCCTAAAGGTGCACGATCGTGTGTAGGTTCCATGATTTTCACCTACTAGCACTTTTGTGAAGAGAAAATGCAAAACTTTATGATGCAGGTGGGATTATGGCTATCAAGTATCTGAAGTGGGGAACAGGACAGTTTTTGTGGACAACAATACCTGGAATAGCACTCACATTGCGACTGTCGGATACGTATGTGCAATGAAGCAATTACTTGAGGAAGCACTTGTGAAAAGCAGCCGCTTCTTTTGTAGAAAAGCCCGGGCCATCTCGATGCACAACTTGTTGAAATATCTACTTATACATCCCACCCATTGTCAATGCGGCGAATCCTGTGCCTGTCTCAGACTTTTGCTTCCGATGAAGCCGAAGCTTTCTCAGTCGCCCAGGACTTGGATGTTGATTATATTTTCGTGAGCGCAAGCACTAACACTGTCGTTTATTAACAATGGATTGGCAGAGAATTATGCGAATGCGAAATGCATTCGCATAATTCTTTGCGATGTTGTTCCGCAGGTGGTTTTTGGTGGCATGGCGAGGTTCGCAAGTGACGATCTCAACAAGTTGATTTGGATGATTCGCATAGCGGCTGGCGTGTACCCAGATCTCCAACAGTCTGCTTTCCTGGGTCCTAGAGGACAGGTGAGTGGAAGAAAGTAGATACGTGCCAGGAGTCATTGGCCGAAGCACTCTCCAGGTTGACCATTTCAGGAATTATGCTATGCGTACAGTTCACCGTTGGGAGAGATGCCCCACATGCTCTGACCAATAGCCTTCTCTATAAGCTCAGCTATCAGCACTTCGCCAAAGCTACTAAAGGCTTCGATTTTGCCAGGAAGACACAAGTGGACGCGACGGATATCCAGTTAAAACATTTCCAGGAAGTGTATACTTCGGAAAATTGGGTTGTTCGCATCTACAAGGTCAGTGAGAATGTTAACTCGTTTACTTATTGCATATCGGCCCCTACGTATCACTATTTGCTGCTTGCTACGCTGTGTGTGTAAAATCAGGTTCTAAAGGCAAATAATAGGGATACAACAATGCTCAATGCTATCGAAAGTGGACTTCAGTAGAGTTATAAAATCGATAGTCGTGTGTAACGATGTAGAATCAAAACCATTCAAGACAAATGTTTGCCGTCTTAAGCAGTCTGCTGGCGAATCTTCTCGTACAGCGAGTCGTGGTACTGCTTCACCCTTTGCACCTCGGCATCTGTAAAAACAACCGTGAGCAGACGTCATATACGAAGTTTCCATATTGATGTTCATACCGTCGGGCCTGAGATACATTGTAAATTTAGGTTTAGTTTTGTTTTTGTATTGCGGTAGTAAACTTACACATATTCCAGGAAAATGAGAGGGATTAGTCTGTATTAAAATTTCCAAGGCGTGAAATGCGTCGTTGTACTGCAAGGTTGGCATTTACTTACAAGCTTGCACCGCACAGCATAATGTATCCAGTCAGATGAGTGAAATTGCTGGAAGTAATTCCAGCCATATAGGTTAGGATCGCACTAATCCCGCGGGAAGCCATTGCTCCAGTGTTCCTAACAGACATCATCATGGCGTAGACACTGCCCTCAAGACCTGTTGAGAATTAGTCATCGCATGTTTAAGTGCCTTTGCGTCTATCGTGGGTACCTGGGGGGCAGATAGATGCTGTCAGAACCAGCAGTGGAAGAAGTTGGATTTCAGCAGTCTGTGAGGGAGAGCATTAGAATGTGTAACTGGCTGTGCTGCACGCTTCCCATCTTACAGCTTCAATAAGAAAGCCTCCACTCAGGACGAACGCCTTGTTACTAATGCCCAGAGTTCGGTTGAATCCAGTAGTGAGAATGACTGGAAGCCAGACGATGAGTCGCAAATTTGGAGATAGCCTGCAGTATGCTAGCCTACTTGGTGAGAGGTATATAGGTACAGCTACCAAAATCGTGGCGAGGAGGGTTTTCCGGAACCCGGTTCTCTTGAAGAAAGTTCGGTACATCACAACTCCAACCAAAGCGGCAATACCGTAGGTAAACCTGGAGACCCAAGATATGTTCCGAGTAATTTTAGGCTACCACTCGGCTACGAACTAACCTAAGGGTTCCCATGAAGGTAGGAGAAAAGCCGAGCTTATTGGTGAAATAGAAGAACAAAGCATCGTCGTAATCGGGCCCAGCCATGTAGGCGAAAATGTAGAGTGCGGGCCCCCAAATGACAGCTGGAAAGCGTGATACTCTGGACATAAAATTGCAATCAAATCCTCTTACATTGCTTTAGGAACTCCATGAGCAACCGCAGCTGTGTTTTCATGTCATACGAGGGCGCTCCGCCCTCATCAGTCATGAAGGTGGTGATAAGTGCAATGAATAGTGGGAATATAGAAGTAGCCAGGAAAATGCCTGAAAAGCGACAAAATATTGTCCACTCAGAAAGAGGGAATTTGTAATTTTCCTACTTTGCTTCGATGTTCTTTCAAGCAGGTATCCCGATAAGTAGGCAACAATGAGACTACCAACTGCTTTGGCGGTAATGAAGTCAGACACGTTCTCGGCACTCTGAAGAAGCAAAGCCGTTTAAAGTGTTGTTGGGAACTCCTACAAGTGGAGATCCTACCTGATCCATTGATCTCCCTGCCGTTGTCTCAACAACTAGGGCTTCTGCAACTGCCGAACAGAAGGCAGCGGAAATCTGGAAACGCAAAGTTTGTGAGCATGCTTCCATGGTCATGCATCATAATTTGTGCTTACCGATATTATGAAAAGAGAGAGCAGAGCCGTTAAGATCTGAAGAAGATACACAAATTTTCGTAATGAACACTATCAAATAGGCATTTACACGCACATGTGTGGGGAATGTTCCCAGCATGATGAAGCCCAACCCTTCAAGCAAACTGAAGGCGATCATGTAGGGCTTTCTGCGGGAGCCGTAGAGCGGATACGAATCCGAAATGAAGGCGAATATTGGCCTGTGGATGACGAAAATCATGGTATGTCGTGTGAATCAGAATGTGTGTGTGCATGCGTACTTGAAAACCCAAGGAAGGGCTGGCGCAATAAACAAAGCTGAGACTTCCGCAGGACTCAAGCCTGAACCAAATCCTCATGCATTCTATCAACTGCGTCAACATTCCATTGCCTATTCACCTAGATCATCCTTGAGCATGTAGTATATCGCAAGCGCGGCGAGATGCGTGAGCCCCTCCGAGAAACCGACAAGATATCTGAATGGCATATCATATTGGAGGCCAGCCTAAACGTGAACTGGCACTTTAGTTTTGCTTACATGACAAATTGAGTGAAGGAGAGCTTCTTCCAAAAGTGCGAGTCCGCCAAATGCGGCAGCAATCCATCACTGGTTTCCCTGAAGCACGTTGGGCGATCAAATTGAGCTGCTATCCTCCCAATTAAGATGCATTCCTTTTCCTACCCTGTGCCTGCAGCCTGGAATTCGTAAATGAACCTCAATTACAAAGCAGAAAAGCAGCATATTACTCACGGCTTGAACCTCCTCGAGGCCGCCGAAGGCGGTCCGCACGGCAGTTCCTCTCATTTCAACTAGCTGAGAGGTAAGTTCTTCAGGATGCAAATTTGCCTTGGGCTAAATCGGCAACAAATGTTCCGATTCGCGTTTCTTTGTGAAATGCCGGCAGTGGGTGTTCAACTCACACGTCCACGTACGGTGTCAAGACACCGCAGCTTGCAGCAAGCTGTATTCTTTGCAGACAGCCCGGTTACTTATCTTCTGGGTGGGATGGTGTCATCTTTGAAAGTTTCAAATTGTAATGTAACTACCATCTAAGCACGGCACTGTTATTTTTATTTGCTCTAACTAAGGTAGGTGATGCACGGTGTTGTAGATCACTTCCTAACTGGAGCTCAAATGAAAGGAATAAAAAGGCAATTCCAGCGTTTAACACTTGGTAGTTACGATGCAAACGGTGAGCATGCGCTCAGTAGTATTTAAACACCAAGTATAGCCACAGCTTAAGCCTTCTCGACCGCGGCAAATTCGCAGCCGTCAGCTGGCCACATGCACAAGGCCTGATGCATCATAGCTAAAGTCTATGCAAATGACCTTGCAAATGATGTTAACCTGGCATTTCGAATCTTCTCCTTCACCACCGCAAGCTGAAATTACGCACCACAACAGAGCATTCGTCTTTCTTTAAGATATTTTTCTGCAAAAAGGCGTTGGCATAGGGAACGTTCAACGTAACAATGCACTAAAAATTACTTCCCCCGCCATTCCCCAGTTTAAGATGCCCGTCGTCCAAAGACGTCTCGGGAGTACTTTTACGCGGTTGAAGGAATGCTCTTTACTTCAATGCCAAATCCAAGCTGCCAATGAGCACGACATCAAAGTATTTGGACGCAAACCCACGAAAGCTTCGTATGACCCCTTTATTTTTCAGTGTCACTAAAGTCACATGGGCCTATCATGGGTGCTTACTTGATTATTAACATGCTCGATAAGCGCTTCGCCAGAGGGACCAACTGCTTTGAGAGGCTTAACGTCGTCTTCCATAACTGTCGAATATCCAACGCTGAGTAGCCGCCACAAGCACAGGCAGGCACAGGGAGATGGATTGTTTGTCATAACCTAGTGCTGTGATCCCACATGGTGAACGGTTCTAGCTGGACAGCTCACCGTTCGTGAATGCTTAGCTGAAGGGCGTCCAACCTCGCAGCATCCTCCTCCGAGAGCTTAGTAAAGTCATACCCATCGCCAGATTTGCACTTTGCAACAAGCTGCTTCACCTCATTAGCTTCTTCCGGGCTGTATTTCAGGGCACCCAGCACAAATATACTTCATTTTTCCCGATTTTGAAACAGCGCTTGCTGAACCCAGCAAGTAGCCAGTGCACTGCTGCTTCGTCACACATTATGTCTTACCTGACGGTGAACGATTGAAGAAATTCTTCTTCGCGACGCTGGAATACCGCAGAGACTCTTTCGAGGACAGATCCATTGCCGTCTGGCTTCGATTTTGCAATATCTGCATTTCGAAGTTCCTTCAGAGACGCCAGGAAGTGGGCCCCAACAGGATCCTAAAATGAAGCACATGATGCCCACACAAATTTCACCCGAACGTGCGCACGAGTGTACACAACAAGCAAGCATGTAAGCGTCAGTGCATTCGGACCCGTCAGAAGTACAGAAAAGAACGGGTGAACCACAGACAAATATGTCAAGTAACGCGAACAGTATCTCAACAGACGCACTTGGGCGGGAAGAAAACTGCGTATGCGCGCACCTACAGATAAATGAACGCAAATGAATACGGCTAGCTACTTTCGCGTACAAAAGCAAAACGCTTTCGGCGCCCGTACACCGGTAATTGATGGCATCTAGGTCTGTGCATCCATGTAGGAGTATGGGGGAACTCACCCGCATTCACAAGAAAGCACGCCTATCACATGCATGCGGATTCATATGCATAAAAGCATTCATACACTGAATAAGTACGTGCACCAAAATAAATACACACAAGCCCAAGCCAACATCCACTCATAAAAGCTAACTCACTACACACCCACATAAAAGTATGCACATCAATACCTACCATCACAGAGCAGTACAGATATGTAATGTGCATACAGTAGTAGCTGGATACATGCCCAAATGTGTGAGAACCAAATTGCCAATACCTCACATCACTTGCAATACACGAACTCTGCGTAACGATAAGGTAGACATTTGGAACGAGTTGAGCGTTAAAATAGGGTTCACGTGTGCTCCTGTTCAGCTTACAGCAGAAGGCGCTTCCCCGGATACGCCCTCAATTGCCGCCTTCAGCGCCAAATCCTGCATTTTCGCATCAGTTGCGAATTTCCTATGGAATGATTCGACTAGCTCTCTCACAATGACCTCCTGAAGGGAATCCTGGATTGCTTTCTCTGCTTTCTGAATCGCCATGAGCTTGCCGGAAATTCGCTCCACCAATTTTTGCCTCATTTGCTCTAGCAAAGCTGCATGATATTCAGCTAACTGCTGCTGAACTTCATCCTTAAAGGATGAAATATATTCGAGGCAGCGTGCATCGTTTGCGTATTTCTTCAATTGACGGTGAACCAGTTCTTCGCCGGCGTCTTTACGGTCTTTGGCACCCTCAATCATCGCCTTTTCTTCTTTCCACAAGTATTCACGAATATTTCGACTGCAGTTGTACACACAATTCGACCCTTGTTCTGTAGTATTGAAAGTTCATTTGCTGTCAATTATTGAGCTGTCTGTGCGGCATCAGACGTTCTAATCGCGGCATGGTGCTTACTAGAAGTATGAAGCCAGCATGTAAAATACTGCTCCGAAAGGAAATGTCTTGGAGTAGAACCATGCGTTGCTCAAGACTTGATTCGAGAAACCATACCATACGCCAAGGAAGCAAAGTCCATAGCTCGACAACTGAAAAATCGCACCTCAGACCTTATTCCTAATTGCCCGCAAGTAAGCAATCAAGTCGGAATCATGAAAAAGTAGAACGCTTCTGCCATGTAGTAGTACTCACAAGGTTTTTTGGCTTCTCATACTTGATTTCCACAAGCTTCTCGGGTGTCTTTGCTCTTTGACGGATGCAATACTTGTAACAATCCTCTTCCGGCAAGTCAAATAATACAGCCAGTTCTACAGCAGTAAAAACAACAAGCGGAGTCCGGTTACTTAACGACGGATGTTCTTCAGCAACTATCTTATACGAAACCCCTTGATTGTCGGCTACTCCTTGCAGCCACACCTAAACTCACCAGGGTAGTGGAATTTGTAGTCGGCTGGGAATGCAAACTCAAACGCATTCATCTCGTTCTGTGAGAATCCATTTTCCCATATGCATTTCATAAGTTCTTCTTTTGTTATGAATGCATCCTTCTCCACTATGAGACCGTTTTCGCATCTGTGTAACACAGTTTCATCGTGGTTCGGTTAGTTAACATAACTGTAGATGGCAGTAAGCAAGTCAACGTACAAATAACTAGCCCATCGCCCAAAGGGTGGTCAGGGATTATAGTAACAAGCTGCTGTGAATGCTACATGGGTTGGTACGGTAAATCTGCTAGATGCCGCAACACTGAGCACCAACACTGTTAGATATACCTTTTTGCGAATTCAATGAACGCGCGAGGCCTGTTCTCCACGTCAGTAATAAGCTTTAGGAACCGTAGAAACAGCGGAGTCTCCTTCGTAAACTTTGCAAGGGAGTCCCTGCGTGAGTCAAACAAATAAGAGTCATCTTGTGGGAGGTTAACACTAAGAAATTAGAGAAAAGGCAACAACTAGTCGTATATGTACAAAATGGCGTGTTTTGTTTGGGTTACAGCACAGAAGAGCCGTTTGCATACCGGGAGGAGCAAGAAGGACTAAAGACCAAAACGCGCCGGACAAACCACTCTGCAATTGGCAAGAATGTCAGACACATATGACTGCAACACACAGAAGTGGAGTATCTAACCTTGATGGTTCGGACAGGAGGAGATCGTCGAACTGGGTGTCTGTTGTCCACGGTTTCGTGATGCGGTATTTCGTGTATTGGACCTTCTTGAAGCCCCATCCCTCGCTCATATTAGCATACCCTCGAGTCTGGTTGCCTGTGATGAGTCGAGTTTGGGGGTTTATTTGCTGAAGGGAACAAATAGGTCCGGTTGTCACTTCGAACCTGGCGCATCCCGTAGAGACCCCACGAAGTGGGGCCCTAAAGTGCGTTAACCAGGGCAGAACCATTCTTATACACACATACTTGATCTAAAATGCGGACTGGACGTTCCCCAGTAGATCCCTTCTCTGCGAAGCTCAAATATTTGAGTGTATGTCTTCACAGCCAGCTGCACGGGGCCCCTGCCGGACCGGGGCTGTACACCTTCTGTTCTCTCCCCAAAACAAGTACAATATGCTTGTTAAATGCAGCATGTAATAGAGTGACAGTATGTGAAACTTTAGACATGACTAGTTTTTCCCCCTTGTTCATCGTACCTCTCGCCTTGCCCCTCTACCTTTCCCGATGGTACGAAATCAGCAACCAGGCGGTTCTTTCGGCCGCTGTTGTGTTTCTCGTTTATGGCTTCAACTACACACAAGTTGTGCTGCTTTTTGAGGAGTCAAATGAAGTTTATTCAAATAGCATCGATGATAGGTACATTTGTGTATACTGTGAGCGTTGCGCCGTGGTATATGTGCGTGTCTCCGCTGCAGAATTTGTCTGCAGAGCTGTTTCTGGCTAGGCGATAGAAGTATACAGCCATATACTAGTAAACTGATATTACGCTGAATTCTATGATTCAATGTATTCTGCTGTTGGCCGCCACCCGTTAGCGGAACGACAGTGTGCAGTATGCAGAAGGCAGGTTCGTAACATGTAGGCCTTTCCTGCGTACGTTGGAGGGGTTTGTTCCACTGCTTTCGGTAGCACATCTTCGAGTTGGTGCTGAAGAATTAGGCGGTGCAAAATAATTTCGGGAGACGACGCCTGCTAGCCGTGGCAACGAACCGTGGCAAGCAGCATGCCGTCCCAACGGACCCACCCACGAGAAGTCGCAGAAGTAAAACAACACACATCCCGACTGTTTAGTCCAGTTGTAGCTACTTAGCTGCAAAAGAACCTAATGCCGTTGTGATAGCTGCTTCCATGAAGCGGGATGTCCAGTTGAGTGTCATTTGCAGCCCAACGCTGCTCGTCAGCCGCAGCGTCACTCTTCAAGGTGCAGCACTCTGCTGAAGTTATCGGAACTACCCAGTAAACTATCAAGGACTTCGAGCTGGGGCTGAGCCCCTTTGAAAGGTTTCTGCGTGCTCCAACCGTAACAGGCAGTGTACAATAATCTCTCTGCGCTTTTTGGCTAGGGGAGGAATGCTCGGTTTGAACCTACTGGCGACGAAATACACACACTGTGTATGTGTATATGTGAGCTAATGAGAATTGTGCTGGATTAGCGGCTAATCACGGGAGAAGCTGTCCTCTGCCTTCCACTGAATGCAGTACGTCCGACTCTGGAGTGCTCCCGTAGAGGTCACAAGGGAAATGAGTCAGGGCCTGGGCACGATCTGCTACGGTTATACCAATGACTGTGTGAATAATATACACTGGAAGATGTAAATTGGACGCCACTCGAGAGGAATTAGCATCCACAGACACAAAGTACACGATGGCGAGCTTTCAGCTCCACAGGGGCTGTCTTTCTGCATTTAGTCCGCTGAATAAATTAATTGGACTTCGCACGAGGGCATCTTGTCCTTCGAATGAAGTCCGGATTCGTGTCAGACGCACTTTAAACATGAATTGAAAGGGCGTGGGATCCACAGCGATTCAATCGAACCCCTGTTCCCTTGCCTCCGAACCCGTCGGTGACTTTACCAAAAGAAATCCATATGCTGTTGCAAATCTGCAGACACTGAAATCGATGTCTAATGTTCAAAGTAAGCGAATTACTTCAGGCAACGACTAAAACCGTTTTACGTAAGGGAGTTGCTTCAGGCAATGACTAAACCCCTTCACGTAGCAAGCCCGTTCTAGTTCAGGAATTGTATTCCAGAAGATATCTAACTCCTCCACTGCACCCATTGAATTATGCAGGCTCAATTGCATGTCAAAAGTAGCCCAGAGCGTGGCCGCCAGCTGTAGACACAGAAATAAGGGACTAATGGGAAAATTAGGAGACGAGTGCTAGATGTGACTTTATGTACAACCTGGGATGCCAAGCATGCTCAACCCTGTGTTTATCTTGAATGGAGAAGTGAGTGGTGGAGGCAAGCAAGTAGGAAAATTAGGGACAAATGTAGATTCAAATACGTGCATATCTGTGCTCCGTATCAGGTGGATGGACGAACAAAAGGCGAAACACCTTGAGTTACACAGAGAGAAGAGAGTTCATTCCATTCTTTGACGAAAGGCGCATTAACACACGCGCTAAGAGCAGCCACGCGGCAAGGATTGGGATGCAGTCTAAACAACACATTGGCTACACCCCTCTTGAAAGCGAGCATTCGTCTGTGGAGATGGACGGAAACCCAAAGTGAAAACTTAGCTCGAATAAGCACTAGCTGACCTGCAACCGCTGCAGCTACAGACGCGGCGCCGCCAAATAAGACACCCGCTGAGGGGTTGTCTTTGCTGGTTCCAGCAGTACTTTTGAACGCCCGAGGCTCCTCAACGCTTGGTGCTTGCCGAATTTCCAGCATGGCTGGACCTGCAGTGTATTGCAACAAGAACTAACTCTACTGTCTGCACTGTGGCCTGGAAACTGGAAGGGAAAGCAGAATATGGTGTTGGTTCCGTGTTTTTGATCCGAAGGGTTTAGAACAGTCAGCAGAAGACACGAAAAAACCGGAGTAAGGCAAGAGAGGCAAGTTGTGGTAAAGGGAAAGTGCCTCACCACAGTTGCACCCCTGTTTCTGCAACACCTTGTGAGAGTTGTCGCAAATTGGAAATTTGGCTGATGACAGCAGAAAAACGCAACTCAGACCTCAGGAGAGTAACAAGGGTGGCTGAGCTTAGCTCCGACCAGAGCTCGCGCATAACGGACGACAGAATCCAGCTCGATTAAAAATGGAAAGCGCTGAACTCACTCGACTGCCAGCATCTGCACACCGAGAAGTTCTGTGTGCGCTTGTGCGAGGGGTATACAATCTCCTGGTGAACAGATGGAAGGTCTGAAACAACAGAAAGTGGCACAAACCAAGAATAAGGAGAAGAACTTGTGTATACTCCTATGAAGTGGAGTGCAGAGGGTGCAAACAACGAAAAATCGGTCCGATGTCTTGCGCACTTCGTCCGTGGATTGTCCCCGTACTGCATGTCTGATTCGTGAGCAGGTAGCACAAGACTAAGAGGTGTTCACAGGGAAAAACAAGTCTGTGAATAGGAGTCAATAGACGCACTGAATATGTTCATTGGGTCTCCCGCCTTTCTCGCTATCTTGGGGAGTGGCTTACACGCCCGCTGACCCATTTTCCGGCAACGGAACTGGCCTGTAAGTAAAGCCAAGAGGCGAAGACCATATTACTTCGTTATATGCCCACCTTTATTCTATTTACAATAACTGTAGTGACAAATAATAAAGCACATGAAGAAGGAGGTAACAATGGTTTGTTTAATCTGCTCACTCCAGTTGAGGAATTCAGGGCAACGGGGTAATCCTAGAAAAGGTCTCTCCCTGAGTCTCTTACAAAATCTTCGCCCCTTAATTGAAACAAATTCATACCTATTTTGCCTTATGTTCCTCAATATTCGCTGGTGAAGCATCCCAGTCATGACTGTGTCCTAGTGGGTCTGTATGGCCCCGCATGCGCCGAACGGGAGCCAATGAATGATGCTGTTGAAGAGCATTTCACATTAGTGGCTAACCCTATGTAATAATGCTGCACACGTACTCATGCCTCTTTAACCGTCTGAGAATTTGTCTTCTATCGGCGCCACTTCGCACAGTTCCCGCGCCGCTCAGAGGCTGGACCTTCTGCGTCATAGGGCACTGGAGCGCCTAGTTGTATCGCTCATATACATTTTGCATCTCCTAAAGGCATAGTTTGTTGGCCCTATGCCTCCGTACGGCGGGAAGCCCCCTGGGAAGGGGCGAAACAGGGGCAGTGGTATTGGCTCCGCCGTCCTCCATCAGTGCCTTCGTAAACAGGCGGAGAGAACACAGAGCCATCTTGCTTTTGTCCAGTCTTTAAAGGATGAAAGGGATAGTATTAGAGCATCTCTCTCACCTTCACCCGCCGGGGTAGCTCTTGGAGGCACCATTTCCCGTCACCGTACCCTAGAGTTCCTTTCAGGTGCGCTGGGTATTGCAAATCCGGCCAAAGGAAGCGCCCAGTCGAAGCATTCAGAGCAACATTTGCGTTCTATCATAGAACGCAGCGGTCTGGACGAGTACATTAGCACCGCCCTTGCGGCGCAGGATAACTTTCTAGTCGACAGGTACGCGACGCGTCTTCTGCAGGAGCCAACGGCCCCTCATGTAGTTCCAAAAAACGTGGACGAAGATGCCGGCAGAAGGAAAGATTTCTTCACAGAGGGTGGCGACGTGCCCATTCCTCGGCGGGCTGTCCTGTTTTCACGCGAAATGGCTGATGCCTGCAAGAAAGCAGACAGCCAAGACCGCCCAAGAGGTGTCAGCCACGCGACAAGGAACCGCAGGCGAAGAAACAGGGCACGAGTCAACCTTCTTTTAGGAGGGAAGGTAGAAGAAGCTACGATTTATAACGTGCAGTTCGTACGACAGCAACGGGATGAACTGCATCGTCGGTTTCAAAAGGCAAAGGATGCCAAGACCAATAAACGGCCTGGTCGACAGGCAAAGCCTGCAGCTGCGCGTGGTCGGGAGCTTGGAGCTGGGGATGCAGTCGCAGATTTAGAGGATAAGTGGGGGTCCGATACCACAGAGACAGTAAATGAAGTGGAGGGGGAAGAATCCAACGAAGAAATTTTTAGTGATTCAGAAGCCGGTGGCGACACAGACGACGCATCCAGTGCTGTGTCTTCTTCCGTTAGCAGCTCTATGACAGCTGAAGACGGTGACACTGCCTCATCTCCTCCGCCGTCTCATAGCGAAGCACCTCAATTCCCGAAGACAGCTGCAGAATTGGATGAAGTCGAAATGGACGAGTTTCTGCGGTGGAGACGGAAGCTTGCGAGCATGGAAGAACAAGGTGTTGTCTTAACTCCCTACGAAAGAAACATTGAGGTGTGGAGGCAGCTGTGGCGAGTCATTGAACGTTCAGATATAGTCCTGCAAATCGTTGACGGGAGGTCTCCAATGTTCTTCCGTTGCAAAGATCTCGAAAAGTATATCAAGGAAGTATCTGCTGAAAAACGAGTACGTCTCCTTTGATGTGTGCAATATGCGATCAGTACTCTCCTGTGTCCGTCGTCGTCTAGGGACGCTGCACATAGATCAAAACCCTTAGACACGATTTTGCTCCCAGGATAAGCGACATTGTCTGTGGATAATTGCTTGTTCAGGTTATTTTGGTCATTAACAAGTCAGATCTATTGCCACCAGCTGTACGGGAGGAATGGTCCCAGTACTTCAAAGAAAATGGGGTGGAGGCAGTTTTCTTTTCAGCACTTCGTGAACTCGAGCAGTCTGAAAAAGCGGCTGAGGAGGGACCTCCAGACAGTTCTCCCAGCCATAAAGAAGTGGATATTCACCTGAAGAGGGACGACGCCAATTTATTGCAACAGACAGATGGTACGACGCCCGAGCTGCCGTCTGTGCCACACGACCCACATGGCAAAACATCTGTAAGTGTCCACAAGGATATTCTTAGCTGCGATTTGTTGGTGGAACTTCTGTCGAAATATCGAGAGGAAATCTTCTCGAAAAGACGCCTATCGGATGGTACGGAATATTCAGAGGACCTTGTAGTTGGGACAGTCGGCTACCCGAACGTAGGCAAAAGCTCTCTAATCAATGCGCTATTGAACATGAAGAAAGTTTCCGTCTCCCAGCAACCCGGAAAAACGCGCAGACTACAGACGATTCCGCTTAAAGGTAGAGGCATCGTCCTCTGCGACTGTCCAGGTGAGTGCGGCAGGCCCTCAGTTAGGAAGCCGTCATGCCTTTGCGGTTCCCTTATGCTCCCGTGATGACGTGACACTTCATTGGATTTCGTCGGATGCGACTGCGTCTGCAGGCCTCGTGTTTCCAAAAGCAGTGGCATCTAAGCACATTCTTGTGCTGAATGGAGTTGTTCCCGTAGACGAGATGCGGTCAGGCAGGCACATCCATTTCCGTCACTCCTCTAGTGCTCCAATTTAGCCACGTCCCATTCCCACCATAGAGATTCAAGCATTCGCTGGCAACCGGGCAAACTACACTGACGCATACACCCGGAAGGCTTCTGGGCAGCAGGGGGTACATCTGTGTTAATTAGCTTTTTCAGAACTTAGAGTTTCTGCTTGCATGCCCCTTAATGTTAACTTTGTGTTTTCTGTTGCTGTCTGTCTGCACCAGTGGGGATTACATCACGTCTGTGCAGCTGATATGCGACGCGATTCCTTACACTGTAATTCGGCACTATGGGATAACAGCAGACGCCTACCGAGATGCCTACAACAGTTCTCAGTATGGTGCAGGAAACGCCGGCCATCGAAAGGTGAATGCTGCTGCGAGGCCTCTTGAGCACATCGAGGCTGTGCACGTTATGGCGGCAATAGCCACTCATCGTCACTTTATTTCGGGAGGTAAAGGAGGGCAATTGGATATGTATCGCACGGCGAAGATGATTTTGAGAGATTTCACGACGGGCCGTCTCCAGAGGTGCCATTTGCCCAAGGGGAGTGTTTACGGCGAAGACGAGGAGACTGCCAATATTAATAAATTTCTGTCGGAAGTTAGCAGCTCCGTAGAGACGCGGATCGCACAGGCAGACACTTCAAGGGTAGCCCCACAATTAGCTGGAACATCTAGCGGTAGTAGTAAGCCCGGGGGCGATGTAAAGCAGCATCTCCAAATGAACCCGACGGATGTTTTGCGAGAGCTCGAACAGGATGAAGACCTGCTGGAGGTACTTGGGAGTGGAGGGAATTCTCAGGTAAGCAAAGAGAGCTGCTGAATTAGCGCATGTGCCCGCATGGCTGTACAGTTGGCAAATGGGTAGGCGCGTTTCTAAGAATCATGCCCTTTTTGTTTTCAGGCCGTTGGAGGTAATGTCCAGTGTGTAATGACGAAGCGGAAGGCTCGTCAACTACAAAAACAAATGTTGAAGGGAAAGGGGAAAAACGGCCTAGGGGGGATTGCCCACCAACGTTGACTTCTGCCTGCGTGTGTACGTAGTCGTATGCGCGGCAAGAATAATTCTGCCCTATCATATATCCTATCCAGTTCAATAAACAACGTTTCTGTAAAAAGCAGACAATTTTCTGTCTTGCTGGCTCAGAAACTGAACATAAACTGTGTGTGCAAAGTGCAAGTTGCATTTTCCACTTAAGCTGCCAAAAAACGTGTTCAAAATCGGGGAGTTTCCTCCTCTGTCGATTTGAGTGCGTTGAGCTGCGCTGGACAGCTGCCGCTCAACTGTTCATATCGTAGGAATTCCTTTGTTCTAGTTTCATTCACTTCACCCTAGCCAGCGACGTTCCAGGAGCAGCCGCAGGTAGTGGCCATCACATCCACAGCCCAACTGGAGCAGCGAAGGGCTACCTGCCGTTTTCTCGCAAGTCGTTTAGGAGCAACAGCGATTGCATCGCCTCATTATATGAGCACAAGCGGAATTGAGCTGTACAAAATTAGGCAAGCGAGCTTCTCCCCATCTTGGGTGTCACATTGACATCAAGACTTTCAGTACGACACTGTAAAGCTGTTGTACGAAAGGCGAACTATTCGCGTCCTATCTACTAAAACCCAAAACCCCATTGTTTAGTAAGGTGTTCTTGGAAGCGTCCCTCGATCTGCTGCTTTTAGGGCATGAGGTGCCTCAATGAAGCTGAGATCTCTCTCTCGGGTGCGGATACTCCGCCCAAATCGCAAATCTCAGGAATGGGAGAAATCATTAGATAAACATGCGCAAGTATGTACATATTTTAAATACATATGGTCTAAGCACTTAAGCATGCCTAGTCAGAAGGGCCTTGAAGTCTTCAAATAGGTCGGCATTAGCCTCTCCTGTGCCCAGCAATCACAAGAAAGCCAACACGTTTGGCGGCGAGGGGGGGATTTGCCTTGGATCGCTAGGATGGAGTTGTGTTTCTGTACTGTCATGTGTTTGTCAGTGTTTGCTGTGGGCTCCATGAACAAAGAAATGCTGAATGTGAATCGAGACTCACCAAAAAGTCGCTCAGCTGTTTTAAGGGTTTCCTCTCTGTCTTGTTGTTGGTTGTTTAGTCTCTTTATGCTGGCTAGGAAGGCATTGAACGTTTCGAAAGAAAGACGGCTCCTTGCGGCTCTGAGATTGCCACAGAATTGCATGTACCCATTCGTTCCATTCCAAATCTATTACAAGGTTCTGGACTACAATCATCCTGACAACCGCTGCTGTTGTGCTTCGTACCTGAAAAAGGCGCGACCGTCAGCGTTGGCAGATGGGTCCTCGTGAGCCGTTAGACTGCGGACGAAAAACCACAGGGAGGCAGACCCACGCGGCACACCGTATATGAGTTTTATGACTGTGTACCCCTGGCCCTCAGGGTGATTGCGACTTCCTATCTTTCTTTAGAGCCTTCGCAGTGAAACGTCAGCGAACCCCCTCATGCTGAATGCAAGAGGCCGGTGTAAAATTAAGGTCAACCTTCCTAACCCCTAGTCGTGGGGTGCACGGACTTTAGCCTTGCGTAGCTGTCTAATCAATCTATGGGTGCATTATGCAGCCTCACACAGTTCCGCTGTTAGGGCCTCCGCGACGGAAGTCAAGCCTCATGCCTTTAAGGTTGGTATCCTCCATAGATCCTAGCTCTGCAGGAATAAGCAATGCAGTATTCTGTTTGAATGCGTTTTATACAACTTTATGGATTAGAAAAGGAGGTGTGTTCTAAACAATAATTCGTACTGCTCGGGTGTGAGTTAGCCTGACCAGCGACAGTCCTCCTCGCAGTCATCTGAAAAGTCGGGTCCGCTGCTGCATACTGAAGAATAACAAACAAAATCAAATCTATATATGTACGAAAGGTTCCGGGACCTGGCACATGGGTCACACAACTAGATGCGTTAGAGCTTAGTTCATATAAGGTGGTCAGCTTGCCCAGCAATATAAAAACATCAAAGAGAAACCATTTTACCCAACAAAACCGTGCATTTACTGAAGAATGAAATTTGTATATAACCTCCAAAAATCTACGGGTGGTTTCCATACAGAAGATTGAACGTACTGGACTAGATTCATCAGCTTCTGCGCAGTCCCCTTGAATTGAAGTGAGCACTGCTTTCTTCAGGTTTTCCAGCCGTTGAATGTCTTTCTGAAGCTGTGAAAATGCAACGCAAGACAGTTGTTCATCCTTTTGTATTTTATCCCCGATCTAGTAGCTAGCTGTGTGGGGAACCAGAATTCTACTGAGCCATGTAAGTTTACCTTCTGTGTCGTTGCCAGCATTTGTTTCTTCTCCTCCAACAGTTGGTTTACTCGTTGCGTTTGCTCGAAAAGCTGGACTTCCACGGCACTACACTTCTTTTGCAAGAGAGTCACCTGTATACAAATTCACCGGAGGATAGCTCCCTTGCAACTATGTTGGGACACAGCGATGCTGTTCTTTATGACTACACCGTGTCTCCCGCATTCCACACCAAAGCCGTACCTGCTCCCCTCGCTCTGCAAGCTGAGTCTTCAGCTGCCTTATTTCTATCTCAGCAGCCTGTACCCGGCTCTTGTAGCAATTTGAAATGATCTTCAACCCGACCGCAAGCTGCTCTGAAACCACACGCGACACGCTGCTTCCCTCATACAACTTCAGGGTCCCTTGGTTAGCCCTCATAGAAACTTGAGTGTGTGGAAAGTAAATCATTATGCTCTTTAATAGTAAGAAAATTTCTTTACTAGGTGCTAAGTGCATATTGGTTTCCTGCCAGGTAAAGGGAAAGGCGGAGACAAAGTTGCTCGTTGTCGCGAATCGCCCCTTGATCTCATCTCTAGAAGGGCAAAACGTGGGAAAGAGGATAGTGGACAATGACGCCTGAGGCTCTGGAGTAGTGGAAGAATATCTCTGGTGTGAAACACTGAAAGCCCGCCGTTATCTGTGCATAACCGATGCGTGCCGTTATCGACGCCTTCGACGATTCGCGCTGCGGTTTTCCTAGATGTATGGTGATTAAGGGATGGGAAATTCAATAAAAAGCAAAAGAAAGATGGTCTGCTGTGACTCACCATCGGCATCGCTGGGAAGCCAACTCAGATCTGCAGTGCTGACGTTCATTTTGGAGGACAGGTCCAGGCGGAAAAACGATACTGACTACGCGCTGCAGACCCGAAATTTAACGAGAAAATAGTTTCAAAAGCAGATGAAAAAATAAAGATCAGAGACATGGATAGGAGAAATTTGAGCTGTCAGGGGCGAATGGGCTGGTTCGATGCTGGCTCTGCGGCCTGCGTGCGTCTGGCTGGAGGGTCACTTGCAGCCCAGTACGAGGCAAAACAGCCACAAGGTAGGGGCAGAGAAGACTCGGGGAGAAGACATATATTTCCCCAGATGATACTTAAATGTTTTAGGTGGTTTCACCTTTGAAGTGCAAAGATCCTAACCATTCTGTCAAGCTGCCTACAAGCCACGCAAGTGCAGATGTGCCCCTGGGCAGACCTTCGCACTTTCCTGCATATTAAGCATAAATTTGCCTCTATCATGCCAATTACGGCACACACCGAAGAAATCATCTGATATGCAAATATATGCAAAAAAGGGTAGTTGCTCATGAAGAGCCGTGTCGTGGTTCCTTCGATTGCGCCTCCCCTAACCGCTGCCAAAATAGGGAACCTGCTGAGAGGTACCACGTGTGTGTTGCTCTTAATAACTGCACAAAATAACGAGAAATATTCGGGTGGTCTCAACCACTCCGATTTCTTAAATACACCTGCACTTGCTCCGTATGTATACAATTCCACACGGACCAGATTCAGTGATCAACCGCAACATGAACGTCGTGAGCACGCTTCATCCTGTTTTCATAGTAAACTGAATTGGAAACCCATACTGTGTATCATTAGTAACTATGCTTTTTGTCTGAGTTTAACATTTTCTGAGAAAGATTTGTTGAAGGTCTGGCCCTCCACCGGTCCCAGAATACGACGCCTGCGTTTCGTTTCAATGTGTTAGTATGAATGGTTAGGGAATTTCGAAAAATGAGCAGCAGCATAAAAGAAAAAGGAACTTTTGCTTGTCATAGATACACACGGAGTTGTATGGGAACTGCTCATAATGAGTGGCTTTGCTGCTCGTTTGCATGTGCCTAGGGAACACCTGCGAAGGCTTAAGAGGCAGTTTTGAGGAAACCGCGTGTTGCGCAAGAGAGAAAGATTTCTCACTCAGAGTGTTATTGTAAACGACTTCGCCATTTAGGGCCACTGTGCCGCAACCCGATACCTCAGCCCCCGGCAGTTTTCCTTAAGGTTTTATTAAGATGCTAGGCATGTTGAATTTATTTATATATAAATCCTACTTGTTATAGCCCGCAGGAATTGACAAGAACTACACTGGATCCTTCCAGCGCCGTATGCCAACCTACAAGGTCCGTCTCTACAAGTGCATCAGGTCGCCATGCCATACAACTCACCATCCACAGCCTGTAGATAACAAATGAGCGTGTAAAGCATATCTGTAAATGTTTGAACCTGCCCACCTGTTGTTGGATTATCACAACTGCAATCGACACAGTAAGTGTGATCTTCAATTCTATGCACACGGAAAGAAAGCTAAAGTAGGCATTCTGACTACCTGAGACGAGAAATCCCTGCTCCGTTTGTAGAAATGCTATGTTTTGTGCGTATTATAACTGCTGGAATTTACTCGCCGCCCCATATGTATATGTACCTGCTTCACACCCTAGGCGCGCACAGAGGCATCAATATATGCAATTTAGGGATATGCATCGAAGGAAGAGAAATCGAACATCGGCATACCGGTTTGGACCGGCTTGCAGCACCGCTGGCATATCTTAGACGGCCATTGATAATACAGTGATAATAGAAGATAGGATTAGGTTTCGCTCGGGGGTACCTCTGGGGAACACATAAATCCAGAAACAGGGAACAGCCAGAAAAGCGCTGCTGTTGCGGCGATGGCCCATATTGTTGCATGCCCCATGGTCTTAGTCAACTGCTCAAAGAGAAAAAACTAGGACTGCACTACTGAGGCTCTCTTTTCCGGACAAGCTGGCATTTCCCAAGCTTGAGAAAACGAAGCGTTTGAGCGGACCCTTTTCCTCAGGTGTACGTACAGGTTTCGCTGCGCGTCTGCAGAGAGTGACTGCGGACATATTAAGTCGAGCATTCCACCGGCGGGTTTGCCCTCCCGAGTTGGCGTTGCCCACTACTACTAATCAACTTTTACGAAGTAACTTATTGACCTGTTTAGGGTTTGCCTGCGACAGTGCTTTGCCTATCCCACTAAAGCAGCCTGTTTGGCCCTGACACTATGCAGGTGTACTGTCCGCAATGTATACTGCATGAGTGCCGAAAAGAATTAGAGAGGTGTTCTCTGAAGCCCGGTCGCCGCAGCGCCTACAGAAGCAGCTTATAAACGCTGCGTCGTAGCAACTGCACAGAGTTGGCTAGTTGGTTTGAATTGCTGCCAGTGAGGGGCTGGCACGGACAAGCGGTAAATAACGCGGCGCGGTGCTGGGCGTTGTAAACGATGCGCTCAGAGTCTGCAGATCCACAGGACACATCAAAATGTGCACTGTGTGTACGGCTGCTCATCTTCCCATGAAAATCGCGGGCTACAGCAAAACATAAGTTTCACGCTCACCTTTATGAGGATTGCTGCGATATACTCAACCACTTTATCGCCCGCAGCTTCAACACCCCCATCACCTGTCTGTCTTCCTTTAGCATGTTCTCGCCCTTGGTTAGGATGCTGTTGACTCGACAGCTTCTGCAGAAGTTCGCCTATTCCGCTCTCGAGCAGCCGACGAACGCGGTCGTTTGGCGGCTGGATATGAACAGAAAAGAAGCGCGATAAACGACTACTCCCTTGTGCAAAAGACAAGTCGAGGCCTTCTATAGATATTTCATAGTCGATAGACGAGCCATCAGGCTGTAAGAAAAAGAAAAAAGAAGGAAGCTGAATCCTCTAAATGGGTTCAATAACTTGTCTAAATACCTATGAAACTGCTCTGGCACATAAACAAAGCCCACAGGGAAACTGGAGGGCATGCAACCTAAGAATGCTGTCTTACCCTGTACTGAAGGGTGATATACTTAGCCGCTCTTTCAACAATAAAGAGGGGAGAGAATGCAGCGAGGCTTCTCAATTCCCTGTCAAGATTCTCTCGCCTGAAATAACAGATAAACGCTAAAATAACCAACGCATACTGCCTCTACCAATATTTTTTCTGTTGCTCCCTCCCGTTCTGACGATGCTGCGACTTCTTCTACCTTCGCTGCAGCTCTCTTAACTATTTGCTTTTCTGTGGATGGCGTCATTTTTGCTTCTGCTGCTTGTCGAGTGTGTCAGCAGCTGACTTGGTTTCAAGGAGTTGCAGTCTCTCCTTTGCTGGTATCTTCTCCAATTCTTCTCTTGTCAAATCAAGTCGAGCCTGGCGGAATTCATCTTTAGTCTTTTCCAAACAAAACTTAACCTGCAGAAGAATAGATGAGGCGCAAGAGGCGCTACTGAATCTTCAGTTAAGTTATCGAAGCGAAAGCTGGCTGCTCTACTGATGAAGCGGAGAATGAATGTAGTTTACACAGAGAACAATTGCATACCACCTTATTCGGGGGAACGTACGGATTCAACTTCCTTTAGCTTTAAGTTGATTCTTTGCTTCACTTCTTCTGTTTTTTCAGCCGTCTGTTCCTCTTGCTGCTGCAACTCCTTGAGGGAGTTTTGTAAGTGTTTCAAGTATGGGAGTATTTCGCCTGCGTGGGTTAGCCAAACGGCGGAGCTGTTGACAGCAACACCAAAGAAGGAATTAATGGACAAAGTTCAATGCAACAGTCACGTCAACGTATAACAACATGCCAGTAGCAGCCTCAGGCTGAGGGGGAGCCGCAGTCGGTCTATAGTTCTACCAAGGGTATTAATTCACACATTCAATATGCGTACACCTCCTTACTGCACTGTGCTAAAAGACATTTCACTTAGGTTTTGGGGTCTCCTGTAATAAATATAATCACCTGTTTTCTAAATTATGTATCCGACTGGCCAATGCGGACATAAATCTTCTGATGCCATTCAGTACGCCCACCAACGAAGACGCTAAAGGCTCGGCGCACTGATCTGGGTCACACAGCATGTAGAGCGCAGCACCGACGAGACAAAAGCAAAACAAAGAGGCGAATTGAATACACGTTTACAGCACTACAACAAAAATTACAAGACCAGAGAGAGCAACAGCAACTACAACAGCGGCTGCTTTTACCTGCTGTAGAGTCAAGCCTAAAGAGCTTCATCGCTTTCATCACTGCCTCCCCGCGCGGGCCCCCGTCTGCCTGATGATTGGAAGACAAGCACTATAAGAGTTGGACAACATCAAACACTGCATGCAGACGCTGCGCTAGGATATATCTAAGTAGCTGACTAGGATATGCCATCCTAGTGGATGCACTTGCGTCTATTTGCACGCTGTTTTGTTGGTTTGTTCGTACCTCTTTTGCAGTGTCCTTAAAAATAGGATTAGACTTGATGAGCGACAAGGTAGATAGGAGCAAGCGACGCAGCTCCCTGCAATATCAAAACCGAAAGCAAGTGGAGAGCAAGTGGTGCGAATTTTTTAGTCGTGTAGTGCATGCATTGCTTTAACCGAAGGGATTCGCGAGCTGCATATACCCAAGCAGGAGGAGCCTTAACTCACTGAATTTGAGCTAGACAATCATCTATTTCCTCCTTAAGTAAATTTTGATGCTCCATTAGCTTGGCTTCCCCTTTGCCTACCCCAGAGGAACCGGAAGCAGGCGTCGTCTCATCACCTTTGTCGCCACTGCTCGCACTGCTGCTGCTGCTGGGGAGAAGAGCAGCATCAACCAGCTGCTGACATGTCGCCTCTATGCGCTGATAAATCTGTCGGAGAAGAGCGTCTCCATCTCTACAAAAGTCCAGACCTTCGCGAAGAGATAAATCCCAAGGAGTTGTTGTCGACGGGCTTGCTGTGTTTGTTGCTGCTGCCGTTGTATTTGGTGCTTCTGCTAACCCTCCTTGAAGGGATGTGGGTGTGATGTTAACCACACTTGTATCTCCCCCAGTCCCCTGGACAGAAGGGTGATGCGCCTTGTTGGGACTTGCACTAGAGCTCGGTGCGCCGGAGTTGGGAAGTAAGGAAGATAGAGGCCTCTTGTGTCTCATAGAACTCAACGGGCTCCTAGCAACGTCATCGTGTTCTCTTGTGATTGGAGGCCCGGTTCCGTCCATTGTAGCGTGTAGGAGAGCGTTTACGAGCGGGAAAAACAAACAGTGATGGTCGGACACGTGCGGCGTGAGTCAGCAGGAGGAAAGTTTATTATTGCTAGGGTATATCATTTGGAGGTAACAGGGCCGCTAATCATATATAAGCTGCTGCAATTAATGCAATTTGCGTGTACTACAGCAGACGACTAGCCTCGTAACACACTTGAGATGCTAGGCGGTTGTGACGCGAGGAAGCATATAATGGCGCATCCCCACATTGCATGAAATACAATGAGCAGTATACTTACCTCACAGTATATTTACCACAAATAAAGGTAGAGTGTATGGTATTTTAAGACAAAAAAATGTACGCATGCAGTCCCTTCAAACCGTACATGGGTACGCCATGAATGGAGAATGAGTGAAATGCCGGATGCACGAGGGATCCGTTTGTCTTATTGTTTTGTAGTATTCTATTTAAAATACACAATTATGTTGCCTGAGAAAAGAACGGCAAAAAAGGGAGGAGGACAGTTGTAAGACTCGAAGCAATGGTGGGGTCGGATAAGTGTCGTACTGGTGGTGTTGTGTGGAAGTGCATGCCTTGAGTATAAAACGCTTACATCTACTACTATACAAAATTATTCTACTTAATTTATTTATTTTTATTAATGAATTCTCTCCCTTATTTTCTGTGTAAAGGGGGGGTGCGAACATTGCCAGTATGGATTGCTACGGTGGACCAATTCTACCAGTGAGTAACTGCAACGATATAATAGGGTATTAAGAAAAAATAATTTACGCCGTTATAATTCTGTAAATACAATATATAATGTATTAAGGAAAGCCAATTTACTTCGTTATAATTCTGCAAGTGTAATGGGTCCCACACTTCGTCAAGTATAGGAAAATTGTATTAATTGGCAAAGAGTGTAAAAAACCGCAACTGGCGGGAATAGGGGACCATCTGTGTTCAATAATCCTCAAGGAGCCCTCTCCGGATATTTTTGTCCAATTCATGGGAATTATGTCTGTATGCCAGTATAGCCAGTAAGGTAATGTTGGGCATGGCACAACCTTTTTGGTGGCCAGTGTGCAGTGCCACTACTGCAAAGAGGGCTCAATCTAGCCAGTGACTACTTTATATATTTCTAGGTATACGTCTTGTTGTGTACACAATAACATATTCTTCTTTTGTTCGTTGCTCTCTTGTAGTCCAATGTAACGTGATTCCTTGATCATAGTCAAGGGTTGTCATGGGCTACAAAGTAGTCTAGCTAGAGAGCACAAGGAGAGAGGATATAATCTTCGTTTTTCTTTTTTTGTGAATTCTTTTCTTCTTTCTCCCTGAGCTTTTCTGCCACTTATCTTCTTCAGTACGATTTATTGAATCATATTGGGAGTCTCAGCTAGTGAAGCCAAGGTACAGCAGCAACACCAGAATAGGAAGGAACACTAGCAATGAATGAGTAGCAGAAAGCGCTCCCCTTGCACAAGGATACAGCGAAGGGGATAGCCCCTGATTCTATGTCTAACTATACCTCAACAGCAATAAACAAGAAACAACAAGATATGTAACAGAAACAGCACAGGGAGCATCGGTAGCAACACGGTCCTCAACAGCAACAAGTGCCCAAGGTGCATCAAGGGGTACTGTGACCTTCATGATTGGCTGGTGCAGAAAGAGCAGCACAGACATTCCCACCACAGCAGCAACATAATTCTTATATCTGCAGCAGCAGCAGCAGCAGCAATTTGCAGATCGAGAGAAATATATCTTCTTTTTTTTTTTCACCCCGCTACCCAATGACTCTAAATACTAGCAGACCTCTTATTAGTAACAAACAAAACAGCATATATAGGTATTCTCCTTCGCAACTTTCTCCTCCCTTTCCTTGTTGTTTGCTCAGTCTATATTCCTCGCTTCCTCCCCTGCCGCTCCATGTGACCCAATTGGCCAGCAGGAAGTCGTATAAGACCTTGTGCTGGTTGGGGGAGAGGGATGGGGATAAAGCTCGGCCTGTTCTGTGTAAATTGGTACATATCTGCTTACTAATGGCCAACCAGGAAGGTAACAACTGGCTAAAATGTTAATGGCAACAAGAAGGGGAACTTATAGACCCATGCATGCAGGGCTGATTCAAGGGGTGGAGTTGCACGACGGTGGTAAACAGCTGAAGAAATTAGGTATTGAATACTAGCGCCACTCCTTTATGAATATATTCACATGGAACCTGATTACTATAATGGATATTATCTACATTTTTGTGTATTTTCTTCTTGTGCCTCTAAACTCTTATGTAGCCTAATAGATAAGTAGTCCTTGGCTACACGCGATCGAGGGATCTTGTTCGTTACCTTGTACCCCAGGAGAGCAAATGAACAAAAGAAGAATAAGTTGGGGTTATATCTACATTTAATACATAAATATGTATAAATTAATAATTACTTACTACTAATAAGGAATTAGTGGCTGTATTAGGGGCTTGTAGGGGCCCCCGATATGGCTTACCCGCCACATGGATACAAACGACCAACAACACGGGTTGTCTAGAGGCCCCCTAATACCGCTATATAATATACTTTATGAACATATTTACGCATTTTTATCAACTTTTATGCGCTTTCTTTGTTTTGCACCTATTTTAGCATCATTTATGGGTGTATATTCCTCGTAAATAGGAGAAGTTCCTTATTACAGGGTTCCATGGACTGGGGGCCCCCAACACCGTCCTAGCATAATAGTTGTGCAGGAAGAATCCCTTTTCCGCCTTTTTTTTATGATTTATTTATACTTTTGCGTATTTTATATGCTATAAATACCTGAATTACGCAAAGATATTCACGGGAGGTCTACCAGCACAACCATTCCTTATGATTACCGATATTCATGTTCCTACAGGCCAATAGCTAGCAATTAACCGCCTCCTTCTTCTCTCTATTATTCAGCCCCATCACCGTCTGCATGCAGCGAAGGACTCCCCTTCTTATTCAGCATTCCCTTCCTCTTGCCCATCAGCACCAAAAGGGGTTAGAGTTGTGAAGCATAGGAAGAAAACAAGCCAAGAGTTGCAGCAGCAGCAGCCGCAGCAGCAGCAACAGCAGCAACAGCAGCAACAGCAGCAGCTACAGCATCCTTGACAACAGCCCCAAACCGATAGTGTGGTTCTGTTTATATCCTAGGAGCCACAACAGATTATCCGACTACCTCCGTGCAGCAGCAGCAGCAGCAGCAGCAGCAGCAGCAGCAGCAGCAAGAAGCAGCAGCAGCAGTGTATCGGCTGCTGCTGCTACCAGCACACCGACGGCAGTGGTATAACAGCAGAAGAAAGAACTAAAGAATAAACATATAAATAATAAATAAATAAATAAATAAATAAATAAATAAATAAATAAATAAATAAAATAAATAAATAAATAATATTGGCCATGAATGGAGGAGGAGCAGTTTGCTGCATTTGCTGCACCTCCTTATCATTATGATAAGAAACGTCACCGTAATAATATTCAAACAATGAATCAGCAGCAGCAGCAGCAGCAGCAACAGCAGCAGCAGCAACAGCAGCAAGAACAACAACAAGAACAACACGAACAACAACAACAGCAGCAGCAGCAGCAGCAACAACAACAACAACAACAGCAAAAAGAAGAACAAGAGGATATATGTGTTACTGATACAACAACAGCAACAGCAACAACAACAGCAACAACAGCAACTACTACTACTACTACTGCTGCTGCTGCTGCTGCTGCTGGTGGTGTTGCTGCTGCTGGTGCAACTCCTTGCTGCTGTCCAGATCCTCCATACCCATTCCTTCCTCCATTAAATAAGGATGCATTTATGATTAGTTCCCCTGTATCTAATTTATGGCAAAAAGAGAGCGAAAGACCTTCCTTATTAGAAATATTATTATTATTAATTAAACAATTAATTAATAATAAATATAGTCAATTATATAAACATCTTGTACAATTATCTATTCTTCCTATACACGATAAACCAACAACAACAGCAACAGCAGCAACAGCAGCAACAGCAGCAACAGCAGCAGCAACAGCAGCAGCAGATGCAGATGCTCATGCTGATCCTGCTGATCATAATCATGTAACTAACTGCTGCAACAATCAGGGAGATGAATGGGCAGCAAATCTAGCAGCAGCAAGAGCTGCTGCTGCTACACCTGGGGTGTATGTACACCCTCCTGATGGTGTATCTCTTAATGAGCATATTAATGCATGCACAACTTCTTCTTCTTATTCTTCCTCTTCTTCTTATAAGGAAGAAGAACTGCAGCAAGTGCTGCAGCAGCTAGCTCTTGCTGCTGCTTCTGCTTTTGAGGTATTAGATATGCGTCCTCCTTTTTCCTCTACTCCTGCTGCTCCTGCTGCTGCTGCTGCTGCTGCTGCTGCTCCACCTGCAGGTGCAGCAGCAGCAGATGCAACAGGAGCAACTGCAGCACAATCAGCTACAGAAACAGGTATAAATAAACAGGGAAAGGATACACGAAGGCAGCAGTTTGCTGCTACTGCAGCAGCAGCAACAGCAGCAGAAGAAGAAGAAGAAGGAGGAGGCACCAAGAGAATCCGATTTGGTAGGGTATATGATGACACAAGCAGCAGCAGCAGCAGCAGCAGCTGTGGTAACAATAAAGAAGAAGAAACTAATAATATATATAGGAGAGCAGCAGCAGAAGGCTTCCCTCCTTTCCGTTCCTATGCTGAGGTGTACAGACAGTGGAAACTATTTCAGCAACAACTGTTTCCTGCAGGTAATTCATGAATTAGTTAATTAATTAATTAATTAATTATATGTATTTTCTTTCTTTTTTCTTTATGTACCCTTTTTTTCTTTCTTCTTATTCATCTCTCCTTAATTGCTTATCTTTGCACACACATGCATGCATGCATGCATGCATGCATGCATGCATTGCACGACGTCGGGTTTGCTGCTTCCTTCCTCTCCTTCTCTCTATATATATAATATATATATTATATAATATTTATTTATTTATTTATTTATTTAT